GCAACGTGTCGCGGGTTCGATTCCCGCACGGAACAACTCTGCGATCCACAAATTGTTGTTTCGGGTCTGGGTGTCATGTGTATGTGAACTTGTATGTTTGTAAACGCATACACGACACAGGAGAAAATCCTAGTGTGGGGCAACGTTTTTTAAAAAAGGAAAAAAAGACGATGGAGTTTCTTGCTCGCTCTTCTCTATTCGAAACTACACTTTGGAACGAGCGCCTAGCTTCACTGACAGACAGACGGACGGACAATTCAATAGTTGACGTTTCAGAAGGTGCCTAATTAAGAATTAATTGAAATAAATACTTTGACTTTGACATTGGTCAAATTAACTGGTGAAGGAGTCGTGTCAATTAACTATCGATTATAACTTAGAGGTATATTCTCCGTTTTATCGATTTCCAAATTCTTATTATAACTGCCTAGTTGCGTGGCTGACGGCCGTCGTAATAAGAATTTGGTCGCAACAGTGACTGCCGGGCAAGGGGATTCGGACTCGATTCCCGGGTCGGGCAAAGTATTACTGGATTTAAAACAAATACCAACCTACGTGTATGATTTTTAAGTAGGTAATTTATTTCGAAATGTTTTTTATTAAACTTGGCGTGTATTTCATATTAATGGTTTAAGTAGAATTCCAATATTGTATGTATGAACACAATTGTACAATACCCAGTAAAATAAATAAGTACCTAGATAGTTACGTGTTTTTCATCGTAAATAAAATAACACTCCAGTGTCTATATAACTGTATTGGTTGTGTTTCTAGAATAATAATGACAAAAATAACATTTTTTGTAATAAATTGTGATCTATTGTTCGACCTGGGAATGGAATATATTGACTATGTGCTCCCTGATGCACCGTTTAGGGGGGCGATGGGGGGATCATCAAATTTCGCATTTCGCTCTGGGTGAGGCGAGAGAGGGTGTCAGTCTTACTGCCTAAACACGTCGCGGAGAACCTAACGGGTTCCCGGGGCTCCGGCTCGACGTGCAGGAGAAGGAACGGGGTGGTTTTTAGTCAGTAAGAGTCTGACACTCCCTCCCGCCTCCCCCAGGCGGGAGCAGCCATTCGATGATTTTCCCCCCTTAAAAAAAACTGTCTAAACACCACTCCGTTCCTGCTCCTACATACAGTCGGAGCTCCAGTACCCCTAAAGGGACTCCGCCCTGGGGGCTTATTCTTGAAATCAATCTCAATGTTAATGCAATTTCAATATAATAAAATCTCAATAATTATTCAGTGTCAAAACTATACAACCTTTATCGTAGCTGTTAAAATAGCATTCAGAGTACGGAATATAAAGCCAAACTCAATACCATTTAGTTCATTCTATATGCGACTCATAACTTAAATAGTAAAAAGTGGGTGTTACGTTGAACGCATTAAGTGCTGTAATGTGCACGACTGCCTACCCTTACGGGGAAATAGGGCGTGATGTTATTTGTGTACTTATGTCTACGTCTTCCTTGGGATGTGCCGTAACAGGCGTTTCACCGTTGGTGTTCCGGAGCAGGTCCATTATAGAGGACCCTGAGCCCCCCCATAGCTGATGATTGTGGCCACCGTGTTTGTTTTAGTGAGGTAGGCATCACACATCGCTTACACTGAGTGGGTGACCGTTTTACCATAGGCATGTTGTCAGCGTCTCTCTTCTAATTCTTCTGTTTTAATTTTTCAACTCAATGTTTTTATTACTTCCACTGTCACACCTTTATTGTCTTTTTTTATATTTTACTAGTTTTACCCGCGGCTTCGCTCGCGTCACAAAAGGATAAAAAGTAGCCTATGTGACATATACCAATACACACAGCGCCATCTATAACAATACTTTTGTTTTTCCTCGGGAATATCAATTTTTTCCGGGTTAAAAAGTACCCTATTATTTAATCCGGACTTCTAACTTTACGTTTGCAAAAATTCAAAGCAATCGGTTGAGTAGTTACGGCGTGAAGGTGGAACAAACAAACAAACAAACTCACTTTCAGATTTATAATATTAGTAAGGATAAGGATTTATGCTGCATCGTGCCTGGTGCTGAATAAATGTTTTTTCTTTCTTTCTTTCACACTCCCTAGTTTTTTCTTTCTTTCTTTCACACTCCCTAGTTTTTTCTTTCTTTCTTTCACACTCCCTAGTTTTTTCTCCCCAAAAAAGCTAGGCGCATATTAAAGGTTCTCCACGTTATCAAAAAAGGTACTAGAAATAAATTACATACACTCGAAAAACATTACCCTCCTTCTTTGGCAGTCGGGTAAAAAAATAGGTGATCTATAAAGAAAAACATTAGCGTCCCGCCTTTCCTAGTTCGATAGTAAGTTTTGCCCCCGAAATTGGGTCTGCCCCAATAAAAGCCAGACTGGCGTCGCCAGACACCATTGATTATGTAGTAATCAGAGAACTTTGTAACAGAGCAGAGGCTTATTTATAAGTAAACCTGCAAAATTACATTATATCCTCTATTGCGTATTGCCATTTAATAGAGGTATATTACGAAACAATTGTAATACACATTGCAAAACTGAGTCTACTTATTTCAGCATCTAAATTGCTGAATTGATTTTGATGAATTTTGTTAACGATATTCGACAATGGACTGGACACGCTTGGTGAAAAATTGGAATCATTTTTTCGGTATTTCAGAAATTCGCGCCTTGTGAAGAACAATTAATATTCTATATTACTTCTTTATTGAATAATGACCATGACGTTTATGGGTATATTCTTGTCCTTATAAGTCTGTAACAATGCCCAGCTAAACCTTTTACAGGTATAGTTGAACATACAACTTGGCAAAAAAGAGTTGGACGCGGTGACAGTTGGAATTAATATTGACTTGGACTGAATCACCTACTTAAGGTCATATCCTATGAATAAAAAATCACCCGATCATAGTACTTACTCTTTTAAAACTCGATAAAAATAACAAGTATGAAAAACGGTTGAGTCGTAATGCACGAGTTTGCCACAGGTACTATACTAGTGACCTCAATTATTTCTAATTAGGCATTTGCCAACTAGTCAAATTCAATACTATTTCGTCAAACACGACAGTTTCCTATAATTTTGTACGAGATTGTGTATTGTGACGTCACGTTTTTTAGCGTTAAACTGCATACTTATTACACAGAAATTTTCTGGAAAAATACTAAAATTAAGTTAGTCATTAAGTAACATTAATTAATTGATTATTTTTAATTATTATATTATATTGTATTGAACAGTCGAAATATTTTTTTTCTCTTCATAATAAGATATTTTAATAAAAAATCTTTATACAGAAATAATTTATACAACTTAAAATATAAAAAAATAATTTTAAACTAAAATATTTACACCTTAAAAAAATAAATCATAAGGCATCAAAGAAAACATTTTCCTCATCGCTATCGCTACCGTGAGGTAGGGTGCCCAAAAGACTGGCAGCATTGCCACGTTGAATGGCAATGCTTAACCTTTGCCCAAGGTAGTAGCCTCTTTCGATCACCTGAAGTGTCAACCATCCACCTTACAATATCTTTGTAAAGAAGATGTGCACTTTGGCCCATTTATTTTTGATTAAGTGAAGTACCCAATTCTTTTTTGCCAAGCTGTAAGTCTTTGTGCGCTTCATACTCCGTGCCCTAATGTCAAGTAATGTCAATCTACGCCGTTGCGTGCAAAATATGACCTACTTGTATAGGTCGGGTCACCTTTTCAAATAACCTTTTTTTCGTCAAAGTAATTTAGATTCTGTTTGTAGAAGCACTTAGTTGATTTTCGATTAGTGCGGGTCAATATGTGGATTGGACAAATCAAATGGTTATTATTAATGAATTGTGTTCTCTAAAACACAACTTCAACATTGGGTACTTGCCAACTAGTCAAATTCAATACTTTTTTCGAACTGTCAAAAACGATAGACGATAATTTTTTATGAATTCATCATTCAATCATCGAAGACTGCTCCCGCCTGGGTGAGGCAGGAGGGAGTGTCAGACTCTTACTGACTAAAAACCACCCCGTTCCTACGCCTGCACTTCGAGCTGGAGCCCCGGTAACCCGTTAGGTTCTCTGCGACTCCGAATCGGCATCAGCCCTAGGTCTGATGGCTGTTTGAGGCGCGCGCGGAACGCTTGGCGCCGTACGCTCGGGTCTGGTTCTAGTCGGGCGTTGAGCCACCCATGCTCGCCGTCCGCAGGCCCGTGCTTACGGTGGCCGGAGAATTATTTGTCCCTTAGTGTATCCTTGGCTTTAGGTAACTAATGCCTGTTTTCACAAACATCTGACTTTTAAGGCTCCTAAGCTACGATAGGTGACATTTAACGACAATATAGTTTTTACCAAGCTATAAGTGACACTTAACAGTACAAGTTAGGGGTTAGTAGGTGCTACATCACGCTAAGTAATTTTTCGTTGAGAGTCGGTTTAGGAGTGGTTGGTGAAAACGCTGTTTCCTCGGGTCACAACAGCATACCTAAATGTTTGTTCAGTACTTTTTGAGTGTATTATAAAAAGTCGCGACGAGGAATTATAACGTTAAAATACATAAGAAATTATTATGTTCTCTTATAATATGGCTCATTAACTTATGCCGGAATACTGAAACGCTACTCAATTTTAAGTCGTGCTTAAGTATAGTTCTATCTCTAGAAATTCTTTGTAAAATGACAGAGATGGCACGATATTTGAGCACGACTTAAAATTGAGTAACGTTTCAGTATTCCGGCATTAAACTGTTAAAGGAGTCTCAACTGACGATGTTGCGCACGCTGCTTATAATTATGAGTCCCGGTTGTGGCACGAAATTAGTCGACCATCTTCTAACTACTATTTATTTTACTGTTTTCCTACATCTTACTAAAATATATTTATTTCTTTGTTACAGATATCCTAAAAGGCAAAACAATTCCTAAATGGTTAAGTACTTAACTATATGTTTAGATAACTGTGATATACAGTCACAATAAGTGCCAAATATAGAAATTAAATTAATATATAAGCTAATCAAACATGGATCCTGGATATTTTGATATTGAGAGGAAGCAGAACCCGAGGGAGACTGCTAGTTTACTGTCGAAGTTTTGTTTCTGGTGAGTATTTGAAAAATATATTTTTTTAAATACCTGTTGATAATTGTCCCCTAAATTAGTTCATACAAAAGTAGTCTCTAAACATCGGAAATAAGATCTATAATGTTAAGTTAGCCTGCCTCGTTAGCCGAGTGGTCGCAATTGCGACTGCCGGGTAAGGGGTCTCGGGTTCGATTCCCAAGTCGGGCAAAGTATTACTGGGTTTTAAAAAAAATCTCATTGGTAGCACGGAGTCTGGATCTGTGCCCGGTATATGGCAATAGGCTCACGCCCTATTACATGGGACTCATAACATAAATAGTGAAAAGTGGGTGTTACATTGTACAGTGGTATAGTGTGCACCTCTGCCTACCCCTTAGAGGATAAAAGGCGTGATGTTATTTTTATGTTAATGTTAAGTTAGTGGAGAGCAGTCGCCGGTTTTTTATGTTATATATTTAAATTAATTATTATGTTTTCGGCATACTTATGTAACTGCTTGACGAGGAACTCGACTAGTACAGCGTAGACAGTAGCGTGACAGTCGCCGCGTCGCGGGTCGCGGAATGCTGCTCATGAATATGAGCCTCTAGCATGGCTTGAAATGCTAGTTAAAGAGAAGGCAGTACGCGTGAGGGAACAAAGCTCCTCACGCCCCAGCCGTCGCGGAGGTCACACTGGGCGTCGGGGATCGCGGGACGATCTCCGGCCACCGTAAGTGCGTGTCTGCGGACGGTGAGCAAGGGTAGCTCGCTGCTCGACCAGAAGTAGACCCGTGCGTATCCGGGCGCGCCTCTGAGATCCATTAAACCACCATAGATGGGGCCCAGTAGGGCTGATGCCCGATACGGAGCCGCGGAAGGCCTAACGGGTTGCCGGGGCTCCGGCTCGAAGAGCAGGAATAGTAACGGAGTGATTATTGGTCAGTAAGAGTCTGACACTCCCTCTCGCCTAACCCATAGCGGGAGATGTCATTGGATGATTTTAACCCTCTCAAAAAAAAGCATGGCTTGAAACTAGTCGAGTTCCTCGTCAAATAGTTAAGTAAGTAATCTGAAAACTTAACAATTAATTTAGCACGTCTCACTCATGAAAGCTATAGTTTAAACAATGTTTCTTACATTTTGGAACGAGCTTAGCTTCACTGATGACTTTAGTTCAAAGTCTATTTTAGTTATACCTGTAGAAGCCATAGCATCTCTTTATTGCCAGTTAGGTTAGAATTCGAATCCCATACTATTCAATGAAGCGCGAATTTACAAAAACACGATAGGCACTGTTCTAGATTCTGTATCTCTATTCAACATAACATCACGCCTTTTATCCTCGAAGGGGTAGGCAGAGGTGCACATTATACAACTGTACAATGTAACATCCACTTTTCACTATTTATGTTATGAGTCCCATGTAATAGGGGGTGAGCCTCTCTATTCAAAGCTTCGAAGAACGAAAATCCGATTTGGCTTAGACCCTTTGCTTCAGAAATTCCAGAATATTCTAGATATTAAAACTAGAAGAGATGTTCAGCAATCTAACTGCTGATGATGTTAATCTAATATGTCCTTTATTCACAGGTACACAAGGCCGATTTTCGCAAAAGGCAGGAAAGGTCAGCTGAGCATATCAGATGTTTATAGGTAAGTATCATATACCTGATATTCATAGACTTATCATTACAGTCCACTGTTGAACTCTTCTACGTCGCGGAGAACCTAACGGGTAACCGGGGCTCCGGCTCGACGTGCAGGATAAGGCACGGGGTGGTTTTTAGTCAGTAAGAGTCTGACACTCCCTTCCGCACATCCAGGCGGCAGCAAACATTCGATGATTTTCCCCCCTTAAAAAAAAATAAATACCTCATCTACTCAACTTGGTTGGCCACAAACTCCTCGCTTGACTCGCTTGCTCGCAACGAAGTGAATCAGAAGATATTATAAGAGGAGAAGAAGAAAAAACGATAGTTTCCACTTCCCTCGGTGAATTACTGCAGGATACAGAATGAATTTGGCCTAAAGGCACAAAAAAAGACGTATCATCACCGTCTACTATTGGACTATGGGCCTCATCTTCTACATGGTGGCCACAAACTCCTCGCTTGGCAGCCGGTTTAAGATAAGCTTATGTTTCCACTAAATTGACTTCGTTGTGAGATCCAAAATAGTTCTTCGTTTTTTATAATAACTATCGTGAGATACATTCTAAATTAACTAAAATCGCGGGTTACTCACGTGAATGAAACCCCTCTGTGGTTCGAAACTAGTAGAGCTTTTCTCAGTATATTCACGTGAGTAACCCGCGATTTTAGTTAAACTGTTTTTCATTAATAGTTCATGTGATTTTTTTTTATGGAATAACCCGGTAAACGTGGGTTCGGATCAACTGATGGTAAGCAATCGGCGTCGTCCATGGACAGCCGGAACATTAGATGTGTTACAAGTGCGTTACCTGTCTTTTAGGGATTAGGAATTTGAGGATTGTTGGGGATTCAGGGATTGGGGAGGGGATAGTTGGGCTTCCGGTAACCTCACTCACACGACGAAACACATCGCAAGCGTTGTTTCACATCAGTTTTCTGCTCGTTGGTGGTATCACTCCGGTCGAGCCGGCCCATTTGTGCCCAAACATAGCTCTCCCACACGATAAATATATTATATCTTGTTGTCATGATGATGACGAAGAGAAGAGTCGCGGGCAATAGCTAGTTTGTAATAGATTTTATTGTAATTTTCAGATGTACACCGGGCCACAAGGCGGCGCCGCGCGGTGACACTATGGGCGTACAATGGAGGAAACAGTTGCAGAAAAAAGGTACTTACCTAATTCAAAATGTTTATAAAACTCCTAGCTGTTACCCGCGACTTCGTCCGCGTAGGATATGAATTTTAGAACATATATTGTTTTTTTGTTTCAATTTTACAAAGTAAAAGTAACCTATGTTATTCCTTAGTACATCAGCTATAAAGGTCTTGCAAAATCGGTCCAGCCATTCCAGAGATTAGTCAGTATAAACAAACAGACAGACAGACAAAAATTGTAAAAAAATATTATTTTGATGTGTATCGTATGTAAATTCTTATGCATATAGTAAAAAGCGGTTATTTTAATATCACAAACTTAACTTTTGTAAGGTTTTTAAGAGATCGCTGTTGCCCTGTCTCTGTCATATGTGTAGTCGCTTAGTCGGGTATAGGAAACCCGCGGGAAGAGTAGGGGTGGTGATAAATGTGTTCTACCCTGCCGTCACTACCCGGCAAAGTTATAGTGATCATTATGATTGTTTATAATATTTTTGTTTATTTTACAGAGAAAGGCAAGCAGCCGTCCCTGTTGCGTGCAATAATTCGCACTCACGGGACCAAATTCATCATAGGAAATATTATTTACGCCATACTAGATGCATCTATTAGGTACGTCACCAGTTCCAATACTTTTTTATATTTCAAGTGTGGGAGAGCCATGCTTCAGCACGAATGGGCCGGCTCGACCGGAGTGATACCACGGCCTCACAGAAAACCGACGTGAAGCAACGCTTGCGTTGTGTTTCGTCGTGTGAGTGAGGTTACCGGAGGCCCAATTATCTTCCCCTTCCCCAATTTTCCCAATTCCTGAATTTCCAACGATCCTCAAACTCCTAATCCCCAAAAGGCCGGTAACGCACTTGTAACGCCTCTGGTGTTCCAGGTGTCCATGGGCGACGCCGATTGCTTACCATCAGGTGATCCGTCTGCTCGTTTATCAGCTTATCCCATAAAAATAAAATGTAGAATGAGAGGCAAATGAGATCACGGATCACTTGATGGTGAGTGATTAGCGCCCATGGACACCCGAAACACCGAGGCGTTAGAAGTGCATCGCAGGGTTTTTAGAAAAGAGTTTACAACGATTGCCTCGTTGGCCGAGTGTTCGCAAGTGCGACTGCTGGGCTAGGGGTTTCCGGTTCGATTCCCGGGTCGGGCTAAATATTTCTGGGGTGTTTTTAAAAAATATCAGTAGTAGCCCGATATATGGCAATAGGCATAACATTACATCACGCTTTTTATCCCCGAAGGGGTAGACAGAGGTGAACATTACGGCACTTAATGCCACTGTACAATGTAACACCCACTTTTCACTATTTATGTTATGAGTCCCATGTAATAGGCGGTGAGCCTATTTTAGACGGTTTCAGCATTAATAACCACGCTTGCTTAATGCGTGTTGGAGATTTCAAACTTATAATTAGAAATTATAAGCCCAGGTTTTTCCTTCACCGGAAAAAGTCACATTGGTACTTGCCGTTTGTAGGTTTCGAACCAGCACCCACCATGCATGGGCATCTTAAACCTCTGGGCCACCACGATACACGATTGCTTATTTTTTATCTATGTATTTATGTTTTCCACAGATTATCAATACCAATGTGCTTAGAAGGTCTAATCAATTACTTCTCTCCGTCCCACGCCGGCGTGAAAGCTAACGAAGCGTATCTATACGCTGTCGGCGTAGTCGGGTAAGTTCTACACTTTTTTTTTTAACGTTGCCCCACATTAGGATTTTCTCCTGTGTCGTGCGTGGGTACGTTTACAAATATACAAGTTCACATACACATGACACCCAGACCCGGAACAACAACTTGTGGATCACACAAAGTGTTGTTCCGTGCGGGAATCGAACCCACGACATGTTGCAAGGCAGCCGGTTGCCCAGTCACCGCACCAACCGTGCAGTTTTAAGACAATTGTTAAGCGCCGGGCGCCAGGGTTACAGAAGGGCGCCAGGGTTACAGAAGGGCGCCAGGGTTACAGAAGGGCGCCGTGACACGCACGTGTCCAACTGCCCAAAGGGCGACGGCGGCGCCCGAAGAAATTAAGAGCACTTATGAGGTACTTGCCGAGGACGTTCTTTAGGTTTATTTCGCGTCTGCTACTGACCAACGGCCAAAGCTTTTGTGAAATTGAAGAGTCGTTGTAATAGTAATGTAATGGAGTTTCTTGCTCGTTCTTCTCCATAGGAATCTACATCTTGGAATGAGAAAATTCACAAGCTTCATTTTTTTGTTGACGTTCAAAAGTGATTTTCTGGTCTAATAGGGTTGACGACTAATTTTTATTTTAATGTCCGTCTGGTAGATTATTTTAAAACATTACACACGTATTTTTTATTTTCTTATGGAAACGAATAGTTTCGAAGATATATTGATTTGAAATGTCGCGTGACGTCACTTCTATGTACATTTTATACGTAGAAATGACGTTTTAGCCCCTACTCCTAATCTTTGATTCGTTTTATCTAAGTATTGTTTTAATATACAACAAAATAATAAAATACGTGTCTAACATTTTTTCATTACCTAACTTACGGACGAATTATATTTTTAATTTTCATACCCTGTCATCATCCCTATTGAAATAAATGATTTTGATTTTGACTTTGTTATGTTTCAGTCTAATGGCGTTGAGCGCTAGTTTAGTGCACCCCATGTTGCTGTGGCTGCTGGATATGGCTATGAAAGTGCGCGTCGCTTGTGGATCACTTATTTATAGAAAGGTAATTATAATTAATATATTTTCTACAAACTGAGCCCGCGACTTCGTCCACGTGGTACGTGAAGGGGTAGGCAGAGGTGCACATTATAGCATTTTACAATGTAACACCCACTTTTCACTATTTATGTTATGAGTCCCATGTAATACAGGGCCGTTCAAGTATTACGTAAGCACCATGGGGGGTGGAGGGGTCTCTGTTTTGCTTATTTCGGATGATATGATGATGATAGATGATGATTACGTCATCGGTAGTTATTTACTTTTTTACACGAATGGCAACCCTCATATTGAAATTATAAATTAAAAGCAAAGACCGACAAAGAACGAGACATTATGGTATTTGGAGAATATTAAAATTACAATATAAAAAACATTAATTTAAAATGTTTACGTAAGCAAAGGGGGAGGGGGTAAGATCTTTGCTTACTTTTGCTGACAAGGGGGGTGGGGGGATAAGTAATTGTAAATAATCTGTGCAGGACGACGACAACTAAAAACCTTAAGCCCTAGATAATAAGTAGTCATTAGCCTAGATAATAAGTAGTTATCAGCTTAGATAATAAGATAGTGAATAACATTGTAAACACTTGCACAAAATTAACGAATTAGTAGTTTACCTGAGTGAATTCTATAAAAAACGTATCGACGGGCTGTACTTCCTATCGACGCCGTCTTCCTACACCATTTATAACCGTAATTGTTAAATTAGTAAGAAAATGGTGTAGGAGACGAGCAAATAAATAAAATGTCATTAAAATAGGCCCCGGAAAAAGCAGTTCTGTTCTGTCCAAAACAGGTCTCCCCGCCCGAAAATAGAGCGAGACGGAGAGAACTTCTCCTTCGTTCGGGCTGGGATTGGACAGAGCAGAAAATGCGATGTCACCGTACGTACGGCACACAGTCCGGGGTAACTATAGCAACCGTTTTACAGCCCGTCGACACAGTTCGTCGGCAATCATCGGTCACAGTTTATCGGAACCTCGTGCAGTTTGGGCAACCGCTGCCCGACAGCTGTCCTAGTTATCTTAACTAGCCTCGGTGTCGCGAATCGGCAAAGTCGCGACCTAGTATACCGAAATCCGTAACAAGGTCGCGGTTCGGCAAACCCGCGATCAAAACACCGATAACTCTCAGTGAATTTAGTGATAACGCGTTTTCTCTATTAACAGTAAAATTGTGCAAGTGTTTGAGTGTTCGTGGAAAGACACAATAGTGTATAGACTCAGTAGAATTAAGTATAGAATAACTATAACTACAAGACAAACTGTTATCAGTGACATTATCAATTTCGTGCAAACCGCTTTCAATCGTGGAACTCTTGTAGTCCAAAAAGTTATGCATATAATTCGCCACGAACGCTTTAAAAGTGTGTGCAAAATCAATTACTAGGATAAGAAAGCTTTTCAAACATTTATAATTTAATTTAGTATAGATTATCGTACTTTTCTAAATCAGTAACAGTGCAATAAATAGTGTTTATTTACAAAGTGTCGTCTTTTATTCCACAATCCCATGACCGGCGCACGAGGTGTGTACAGTATAGACGCACATAATCTGAGTACGTAATATTTGAACGGCCCCTAGGGGCTGAGAATATTTAAAAACCCAGTAATACTTTGCCCGACCCGGGAATCGAACCCGATACCACTTGCCTGGCAAGTCGCACTTGCGACCACTCGGCCAACGAGGCAGATAATTTTAATTTACCATTCCTTTTTATTACAGTTACTCCGCCTAGATTTAACCAAAGGAGGGAAAGCGTCAGAAGGTTTAGCGGGCCACGTAGTGAACCTTCTGACGACAGACGCGCAAAGGTTCGACATGGCCAGTCTGTTCATGGTGGACCTGGTCCGGACCCCGATAGAGAGCACCTTGATAGTCTACCTCATGTACCGGCAGATTGGGGTCGCTACCCTCATTGGGGTCGCGTTTCTACTCATGTTTATACCTTTACAAGGTGAGTTTGATATTTCATGATGTGTGGTTTTTTTAAAACGTTGCCCCACACTTGGATTTTCTCCTGTGTCGTGGGTGCGTTTACAAACATACAAGTTCACATGACATCCAGACCCGAAACAATAATTTGTGGATCACACAAAGAGTTGTTCCGTGCGGGAATCGAACCCGCAACACGTTGCGCGGCAGACAGTTGCCCAACCACCGCGCCAACCGTGCAGTCAAGTTTTTGATACTAGGTGACTATAGACCCTTTGATTTGTTGGCGTCTTCGGTGTAGATGGGGATTTGTTGAGTGATTGGAAAGTCAGCTATCATGCCATGTATTGCTGGTTCGTTTTCTGCATGGGAGAGCCATGGTACGAATGTGCTGATTCGACCGGAGGGATACCACGGCCGAGCAGAAAATGACGAGAAAAACACTTGTGTTGTGTTTCGTCTTGTGAGTGAGGTTACCGGAGGCCCAATTACACCCACTTTCCCAATCTCCCCAATCTCTGAATCCCCAACAATCCTCGAATTCCTAATGAGTAATCCCCAATAAGCCGGTAACGTATTAGTAACACCCTTGGTGTTCCGAGTGTCCATGGGCGGCGCCGACTGCTTACCATCAGGTATTCCATCTGCTCGTTTACCAGCTAATCCCATAAAAATAACCTAATAGTTATGGATTTTGAAATATTTGATTTATTAATTTAATAAGTATGTATTCGTTTCTGTTACAGGTTACCTAGGAAAAATATCTAGCAAATTACGTCACCAAACAGCGATACGGACGGACAATCGTATAAGACTGATGAACGAAGTCATACAAAGCATCGAGGCTATCAAGATGTACGCGTGGGAGAACGCATTCGCTAAAATTATTGGCAAGGCCAGGAAGTAAGTGTCTAATGACCCCTTTTAATTCTTTTTTTATGGCATAAGCCGGTAAACGAGCAGACGGATCACCTGATGGTAAGCAATCGTCGTCGCCTATGGACACCTGGAACACCAGAGGCGTTACAAGTGCGTTACCGGCCTTTTGGGGATTAGGAGTTTGAGGATCGTTGGGGATTCAGGAATTGGGGATATTGGGGAAGGGGAGCGTAATTGGGCCTCCGGTAACCTCACTCACACGACGAAACACAACGCAAGCGTTGCTTCACGTCGGTTTTCTGCTCGGCCGTGGTATCACTCCGGTCGAGCCGGCCCATTCGTGCCGAAGCATGGCTCTCCCACACTTAAAAAGAAAACCCTTGAAGGCCCCTGACCCCTTGAAGGGACATTTTATATCGTCTTTTATTAAGGGATGATTTTTCAACGTCAGAAACGTTTTATTGAAGGGATAATTTTGACTGCCTCGTTGGCCGAGTGGTTGCAATTCCGACTATCGGGTCTCGGGTTCGACCCCCGGGTCAGGCAAAGTATTTCTCGGTTTTTTTTAATTCTCAGTAGTAGCACGGAGTCTTTAATTGTGCGTGTATATGGCAATAGGCTCACCCCCTATTACATGGGACTCATAACAATTAGTGAAACTGCCACTGTACAATGTAACACCCGCTGGTGTTACATTGTACAGTGGCATTGAGTGCCGTAATATGCACCTCTGCCTAACCCTTTGGGTATAAAAGGCGTTATGTATGTTATGAATAGTTTTGAATATTTGACAATTCTTCCATACTAAAAAGTACTTAACTGTGAAATATCAATTTTATTCTACAGACTAGCCACTCGGTGTTACCTGCTCTGCTTGATCGTAGCGCAATATTTTAGCTTATAGTCTTCCTCAATAAATGCACTATCCAACACAAAAAGAATTGTTCAAATCGGATCAGAACTTTCGGAGATAAGCGCGTTCGAACAAACACTCTTCAGCTTTATACAATAGTATAAAATTTAATCCCCATTTTTTCTTTTGTCCGCAGAAAAGAGATGAACGTAATAAAAAAAATGTCATGGCTACGAGCCGTGATGATATCCTGCGTCAAATTAAACACCAAAGTTGCCATTCTACTAAGCATAATGTCTTATATATCGTTCCAAAACGAATTGACGGCTGCTAAAGTATTCGTTATATTTTCGTACTATGAAATCCTGAAGTACACACTTGTCGATTTCCTCCCGCTCGCAATCACGTTCACTTTGGAGGCCTATGTGAGTGTTAAAAGGATGCAGGAGTTTCTCCTTCTCCCTGAGGTGGACAACCAGGATGGAGTGGATTTACTGAACATCGAAGAGAAGTTGGTACAGTCCAATGGCGTGTTTGAGAAGATTGGTAATGGGTGAGTTTGGTTTGTGTTTTACTGAGGGCCGACTTTATTGCTCAGGTAAAATTTTATTATAAAATGAAAATGCTTGAGCAACAGACAATTAACTACTGTTTATTTCAAAAGGAGAGTGTATTACATACTATGAGATAGATGGCGCTGTTATTTTGTTTTGTGATATTGTCGATACAAAATATAGATTAAAAATAACAATTTTATCAGAGGAATTGACAATTCTTCCACGCTAAAAACTGTCAACTTTATTCTACAGTACAAAATTAATTGATAATTTAAAAATTGGCCCTAAAGAATGTAGTGAAGTTTTTGATGAGTTGGTGTCAGTTGGTTGGTTGATAATATGGGGTGGATTAATTATGTTTAATTTTAAAAAATCACACCTTCTGTTCGCCGAAGGGCTAGGCAGAATTGCACGTATTAAATTAATGTAAAAATCTTAATATTTTTGATCAGTAGTCTGTAAAGTTATGATATCTGTGTAATAGAAGCGGGTTTACTGTCCTAACGTCGGGTTCAATTTTTATACATGATAAACCCCGTATTATTAAAGAGACTGCCTCGTTGCCCGAGTGGTCGCAAATGCGACTGCCGGGTAAGGGGTCTGGGGTTCGATTCCCGGGTCGGGCAAAGTATTACTGGGTTTTTCAAAAATCTCTAGTAGCACGGAGTCTGGAAATGTGCCCGGTATATGGCAATAGGCTCACCCATGTTATAAGTCCCATGTAATAGGTTACATGGGACTTATAACATAAATAGTGAAAAATGGGTGTTACATTGTACAGTGGGTGTTACATTAAGTGCCGAAATGTGCACCTCTGCCTACCCCTTCGAGGATAAAAAGGCGTGATGTTATGTATGTTATGTATTAATGAGAATTTTTGAAACACACACAAATCTTAACAATATTATGTCCAACTCGAGAATCAAACTCAAAACCTCGGCAGTCGAACTTACAACATGTCAATCTATTACGCATACAGTAGGCGCAAACAGATACAAATATAATTAATACTAACCCATATACTTTTCCACCGCAGCCAGCAAGCGTACATCAAATCGGAGACGAACCTGGAACAGATGAAGCCACCGGTGCTGATAGCCATGAAGGACTACACGGCGCACTGGAAGAACGTGGACGACGAGGGTGTTGATGGCAAGATACCGGCTCTGGAGGACATTAATTTAACCGTGAGTTTATATATATATGATAGTAGCTTTTACCCGCGGCTTCGCTCGCGTCACAAAAGGATAAAAAGTAGCCTATGTGACATATACCAATACACACAGCGCCATCTATACCAATAATTTCGTTTTCCCTCGAGAATATAAAATTTTTCCGGGATAAAAAGTACCCTATTATTTAATCCAGACTTCTAACTTCACGTCTGCAAAAATTCAAACCAATCGGTTTTGTAGTTACGGCGCGAAAGTGGAACAAACAAACACACTTTCCGATTTATAATATTAGTAAGGATTCGGCCACATCATCGCTTACCATCAGGCGAGATGGTGGTCAAATGTCGACCTATAAAGTGTAAAAATATTATAAGTTTCATTAGACATACTACGAGTGGTCGCAAGTGCGACTGCCGGCCAAGGGGTCTCGGTTCCCGTTCGGTTCGATTCCCGGGTCGGGCAAAGTATTACTGGGTTTTTAACAAATTCTCAGTGGTAGCACGGAGTCTGGAATTTTCCCCGAAATATGGCAATAGGCTCCACCCCCTATTACATGGGACCCTTAACATAAAATTGTAAAAACTGGGTGTTACATTGTACAGTGGTACACTGCCATAATGTGCACCTCTGCCTACCCCTTCGGGGAAGAAAGGCGTAATGTTATATATATATATATATATATGAGACATACTAGGTAGCGCAAATGTAAACGGGGGATTTTTGTCCAATTGCGTACTTCCAATTAGTCAAATTCAATACTTTTTTCGAACTGAGTGAGGTTACCGGAGGCCCAATTATCCCTTCTTCCCAGTCACCCCAATTCCCAAGGCCAAACCATCCTCAAACTCCTAATCCCCAAAAGGCCGGTAACGCATTTGTAACGCCTCTGGTGTTCCAGGTGTCCCTGGGCGACGCCGATTGCTTACCATCAGGTGACCCGTCTGCTCGTTTACTGGATTATGCCATAAAAAAATCCCCGAATCCCTAATCCTAATAATCCCAATTAATAATCGTCGTTCACCGGTTCATCCTATAAAAAAATTACCAGTGAGAGACCTTTGAGAGTATAATACGCCTAATATCATTAATTCCCACAGATAAAACCGGACACTCTAACGACGGTGGTGGGCACAGTGGGGTCTGGCAAGTCCACGCTACTGCAGGCGATGTTGAGGGAACTGACGCCCACCACGGGACATCTCCACGTCCACGCCATCGTGGCGTATGCGTCGCAGGAACCGTGGCTGTTCGAGGCTTCTGTAAGTAAAATATGTAGTTATACCTACTGTCTTGTCGCGGAGAACCTAACGGGTTACCGGGGCCCCGGTTCTACGTGCAGGAGAAGGAACGGGGTGGCATTTAGTCAGTAAGAGTCTGACACTCCCTCCCGCCTCACCCAGGCGGGAGCAGTCATTCGATGATTTTCCCTCCTTAAAAAAAATACCTACTGTCTCTTTTTTGTGGTCGAAGCAACTGATTTTATGAATCTAAATCGAAACGCCAAGGCGTGTGACGAAAACTCCATGCAATTGACAATCGATATTTTTTTTTTTCTTATGGCATAAGCCGGTAAACGAGCAGACGGATCACCTGATGGTAAACAATCGGCGTCGCTCATCGACACCCGGAACACCAGAGGCGTTACAAGTCCGTTTCCGGCCTTTGGGGGATTAGGAGTTTGAGGATCGTTGGGGATTAAGGAATTGGTGAGATGATTATGCTTTGCTCGTGCTCGACTTGGGTATCGAATTAGAGCCGTCATGTTCCCTGAATAGTGTTGCAATCTTGTATGGAATTTAATTTAAACGAATTTGAACTTTCTAAAATGGGTAGCAAAGTACCTCATAATTTCTTTTCATAACAATGTTCACGACGTGTTCTAGGTCCGTCAAAACATCCTCTTCGGTCAGGACATGGACCTGCGCAGGTACAAGCAGGTGATCAAGTGCTGCCAACTCAAGACTGACCTGGAGATACTGCCACATGGAGACAAGACTGTCGTGGGAGAACGAGGTTAGTTTATGTAACCATTTGTTATTTTATACTAGCTGACCCTGACTAGCTGACTGATATTTTTCTCACGTTTTAAACATTCCCTGGACTTCCGAACATTTAGTTTCGGATCGATGCGAAGTGTGTTATTTACACTTCATAAGGCTCTTAAATATTTTTTTATTGAAGTTTAAAGTTTTAATGTTTTTTTATCTGTCTTTGAACACTACAAAATGTCGCCGCCATGCTAATGACGTCATTGCGGTAGTAAACAAAAGTACCAGCTGTCATTGTACTAAGTGTGTATTACTGTCAGCTTTAGTTTGCTGAATGAATACTGACGTAATGACGTCATGACTACAAAACAATCATGGCGTCCGTTGTTTGCCGCGTTTTCGCGAAATATGCGAAATATGCGAGAAAAAATTTTTTTAGAAGTATATGTATTAGGGCTGTAGAATTTATTTTAGGTAAATTTCAAAAATGCATGTATTAGCCTTTAAGTATTCGAGCATAAGTAATACAAATATGTATTTAAATATTTCCCAGGTGCCTCCCTGTCGGGCGGGCAGCGCGCCAGGATATCGTTAGCGCGGTGTGTGTACCAGAATGCTGACGTATACCTGCTCGACGATCCACTCGCTGCTGTCGATGCTAAGGTAAGTAGTATTTATGACTCCAGCGCTTACTCTTGAATCTAATTTCGATCGATCGACATTGGTATTGTGAAATTTTGTTTTCTCAAGTTGCAACACTAGCGCCCATTGCGTGGATATTGAATGAATTCTTTTTTTTCGTTTTGACTTCGAATAATTATTGAGATTTTATTTGATTGAAATTGCATTGACGTTGAGATTGGTTTCAAGAGTAGTTTCGAAGCTGGCTAGCAGGTCAACCTTCTTATTTCTATCAAATTCCTTTATTATATTTACAACTTTATCGTTTTAACACATTGGATGCCGTGTTGGACGATGATGACCCACGCTAGCGGAGGATTAGCCTTTAACAGTTTTTGTTAGCAATTAAAGGCTTAATACATACATATATACATACATACATAACCTTACACCTGTCTTCCATGGGAGTAGGCAGACTATGGAACGAAATTTGAAAAAAATAACAAATTGAAGTGAAGGATACGCAACTTAATATTGATATTTTCAATGAAAAATTTATTATTTATTACAGCATTGGAATGGGGCCTATCGTGTTTTTGTTCACCAAGTGTCGCTAGTGTGGTCCTCTCGTTTTTCGTCCAATAGGGAATTTGCTTGCGTCACACGATTGGACGTTCAATATTTGACAGCTACTGTGATTGGACGAACATTCCTTGTTTATATTGGCACCACTTGATGACCAAATAAATCGTTAGCCTCATTAATCGACCTCATCGTTCGCTATATAAAATTGACGTATAAAAGTGCTGCCTTGTAGCCTATTTGCAGAAATAAATTCACTTGTTTCACTTGCTTATTATCTGTGAACGAATGAACGTTAATATTTATTGAAGAAAATCGTAATGCATTAAAATATTTTAACATTTTGTTAACAATTATTCTATTATATGAAATAACTGAATAAGTTTTTTTTTACAGCTCCATCCTGTTTGATTTCACGTCATATAAAAATATACAGATCCATATTTACCCCTCAATAAAAACACACTTAAATTTTTAGGCTGTAACTTTACTCAAAGCCAGTTAGACATAGGTACATATTATAATACTCTGTGATACATAAATACATATCTCACGCCTGTTTCCCATGGGGGGTAGGCATAGACGTGACGTGAATTACTATGATTCTAAATATTCAAATACAATAATAAGTTGACAGGTAGTCAAATTTAATACTTTTATTGAAATGTCAAAAACGATACTTTTCTATGAATTTTGTATTGGATCGCAACTTATGACGTCATCATATTTCTGCGTCAAATAGCACACTTATTTCCTTATAATTAGCGAGATCGATAAAATATCGATTGATGAGAGTAGGATTATTTTTTAATTAATTATTGCATTGAAAAGTTGAAAAAAATTTTTTTTATGGCATAAGCCGGTATATTAGCATACGGATCACCTGATGGTAAGCAATCGGCGTCGCCCATGGACACACGGAACACCAAAGGCATTACAAGTGCGGCCTTTTGGGGATTAGGAGTTTGAGGATCGTTGGGGATTCAGGAATTGGGGAGATTGGGGAAGGGGAGGGTAATTGGGCCTCCGGTAACCTCACTCACACGACGAAACACAACGCAAGCGTTGCTTCACGTCGGTTTTCTGCTCGGCCGTGGTCTCACTCCGGTCGAGCCGGCCCATTCGTACCGAAGCATGGCTCTCCCACACTTAAATTTATTTATTATATATTAATTTATTTTAAACCTAGGAAACTAGACAATTTACAACATAAATTTTGTCTTTACAGGTGGCCCAAGCGATATACGAGGATTGCATCCGTAATTTCCTCCGCGACAAGGCGACAGTACTAGTCACACATCACGTGCAGTACGCGAAACATGCCCACAATGTCTGCGTCATGAGGTCCGGCAGAGTAAGTGATATGATAATGTTAAATTTATTGCATTTTTCATTTGGTGGGTGTTACATTGTACAGCAGCATTAAGTGCCGTAATGTGCAGTGTGCACCTCTGCCTACCCCTTCTTGGATAAAAGGTGTGACGTTATGTCATGACACCCAAATGATTTTCTCTTTCTGAATATTTGTCTTTTTTTTATTACTATGATTTTCTCCTGTGTCGTGGTTGCGATTACAAACTATAATTTTCACTTATTAGTGTATTATTTTTCTATTAGATCGTAGCTCAAGGCACATACCACGAGTTGAAGAATGGAGTAGCAGAGTTCGAGAAGTTGATAGAGATGGGGGAGAAGGTGGAAGAAGAGAAGCAGAAACAGAAGAGTTATGAGAACACTGAGAGCGTGGTAAGATAGTTTTTTTCAAAAACACTCAAAATATTCCTTTTTAACCTTAATAACTTTTTCTTTACTACATAGTATTAAACAAAGTCACTATCCTCCGTCTGTCTGTCCCTATCTATGCTTAGATGTTTAAAACTACGCAACGGATTTTGATGCGGTTTTTTAATAGATATAGTGATTCTTAAAGAAGGTTTATATGTATAATACATACATACATATTGAACACGTCTGAAACCGGGACGAGTCGCTAGTATTTCATAAAGTTTTCGATTTTGCACTCTTGGAGATGGCTAGTCCAATTAGCAAATAAGTCAGCTCAGTTGATGCAAGTTATATTGACTTTAAGATAAGCAAAATATTGTATTAGATAGTAGACCTTAAACTACATTAACGCCTCTAGCGACGCGAAACCAATCCTTCGGAATCTTGTACACAATAAAAACCTATTTAGTCGAATTATGAACCTTTTTTTATGGGATAAGCTGATAAACGAGCAGACGGAACATCTGATGGTAAGCAATCGTCGTCGCTCATGGACACTCGAAACACCAGAGGCGTTACAAGTGCGTTACCGGCCTTTTGGGATTAGGAATTTGAGGATTGTTAGGGACTCAGGGATTGGGAAAGGGGGGGGGGGCGGGTAATTGGGCCTCCGGTAACCTCACTCACACGACGAAACACAACGCAAGCGTTGCTTCACGTCGGTTTTCTGCTCGGCCGTGGTATCACTCCGGTCAAGCCGGCCCATTCGTGCCGAAGTATGGTTCTCCCACACTTACTACTTACCTTACAGTAGTCGTTTTAGATACTAATTATATTTTCTTTCCACTAGGTCTTTAACGTTTCTGTGAAATCTGAGAAACCGGATCCAATAAGAAGTGTTAGTTTTTAGTATTTAATATTTCATTAGTCAGCCATATTGTTTTAGTTATTATTTAGTACTTTTTATCCACGTCTCTGATCAAATTTTTTGGTATTGTTTTCAATTTAACATTTTGTGACTGTCTCGTTGGCTGAGTGGTCGCAAGTGCGACTGCCGGGCAAGGGGTCTCGGGTTCGATTCCCGGGTCAGGCAAAGTCTTACTGGGTTTTTCAAAAAAAATCTTGAGTAGTAGCACGGAGTCTGGAATTGTGCCCGGTACATGGTAATAGGCTCACCCTCAATTACATGGGATTCATAACATAAAATAGTAAAATGTTGGTGTTACATTGTACAGTGGCATTAAGTGCCGTAGTGTGCATCTGCCTACCCCTTTAGGTATAAAACGAGTGATCAAATCATAACTTCTGATCAAATAAATTATTATTATTTCTTCCTAGGAACACAGTTACAACAAGCTCCGTTCTCAAAGGTCTATGTCTGAAGCGTCGCAGCTGTCTTTCAACCTGGATCTAGATAACAACCTAGATCCGAAATATGAAGGTAAGTTTATCTATATTCCGTTCAAAATGACATAAATATGTTGATAGACCTTTTTTGGGGAAAATCATCCAATGACTGACCGCCAGGGTGAAGCGGGAGTGTCAGACTCTTACTGACTAAAAACCACCCCGTTCCTACTCCTGCACGTCGAGCCGGAGCCCTGGCAACTCGTTAAGTCCTCCGCGGCTCCGTAATGTTGATAGACCTGAGCATTCACTTGTAACAGATTATTTTTGATATAGCATTCACATTCGCCGTTTTTAAATTTCTTTAACTTAACAATGAGCTAAGCAAACCTTAGGGCCAAATATTGCTGCGAAGATTTTCATAAACAAAAGAAACTAACTGTTTGTGTGATCCATAGATTGTTGTCCCGGGTACACACCCGGGCAAACAGTCAGACATACACAGCTGTGATGTGTATGTGGACTTGTATGTTTGTAAACGCACGCACACAGGAGATAATCCTAGTGTGCGGCAATATTTAAAAAAAAGAAAAATACATCTAATTGAAATAAATGATTTCGACATTTTTGACTTGTTATGCCATAAGGTGCTCTATGTCTATGGAATAAAAGTAAAAATAGGTTGAACAGTTAGAAAAGATTTTTTTTAAAGTCTAGCGTTGAAACAACTTGGATAATGGGGTAGTTGCCCAGCAATGAAATTTAAAAACCTAATTAGTCCGTCAGTTAGATAATGAAAAATATTAGACACGTATTTTTTTATTTTCTCGTATAAAGTTACAATACTTAGAAAAAAATTAAAACTAAATATTACTAAATTAAATATATACAACTTAAGATTAAAATTAATTATAAGAAAAAACAAAAACAAGTATGTACATAAAGCGTCGAAAAATTCGTAATAGTTAGTTTTTAATTAAAGTGTTTTATTTGAATAAATGATATTATATACTTACTTAGATGAAATGGAGTTAAGTTTAGGAGTGGGAGGTCGTTACGTCACTAAGTGCTACAAAATGTAGCGTATTGACGTCACACGATATTTCAGATTAATATATCGTCGAAAGTATTTAATTTTGTTAGAAAAGAAAAAATACGTGTCTAATGTTTTAAATTATTACATTTAAATACTTTAAATTGAGACATGTACCTTATTATTAAATTACAATATTTATTTCCAGGTGAAAGTCAAAAGAAAGGTTCAGTAGACAACAGCGTGTACGTGGCTTACATCCGTAGTGGGGGGAGCACGCTGTCGATGGCCCTGCTGATACTACTGTTCCTATTGGCGCAATTCTTCTACTCCTCCACCGACGTATGGCTGAAGGAATGGTAAGTTATCATACAGTGACTCTTGTACAGATTGTAAGTAAGTCAGTCAGTCAGCGAGGTAGGTAGTTAATTCTTCATCATCAACAGCCTATAAATGCCCACTGCTGAGCAAAGCCTCTTCTCACACGGAGAAGGTTTGAGCATTAATCACCACGCTTGCTCAATGCGGGTTGGCGATTTCAAACTTATAATTAGAAATTATAAGTCCAGGTTTCCTCACGATGTTATTCCTTCACCGTTTGTCAGTGTCTAAATAATCTTAGAAAGTACATATAACTCGAAAAAAGACATTGGTACTTGCCGTTGGTAGGTTTTGAACCTACACCCTCATGCGTGAGAAGCGGGCGTCTTAAACCTCCAGGCCACCACGACACAAATTAATTAATTCTTCAGTCAGTCTGTATTTTTTTTATGGGATAAGCCGGTAATCGAGCCGACGGATCACCTGATGGTAAGCAATGGGGCGCCATCCATGGACACCTGAAACACCAGAGGCGTTACAAGTACGTTACCGGCCTTTTGGGAATTGGGAATTTGTGGGGTATTCAGGGATTAGGGATACTAGGGAAGGGAGGTAACTGGGCCTCGGGTAACCTGAGAGGATGGATGATACGTAGCTGATTATAATGTTAATGTTTGTGTCCAGTTACAATAATTACTTTTATTACCAAATTTGTCATTCAAATGTATAGTCTTTTTTTTTTGTTTTTTGTTAATTTTGTTTCTTTATTGTATTAATTTTTATTTCTTGTATTTGATTACCTAATTAGTTTGTTTTTAAGTATCTAAATAATAGCATTTATATAAGATTATTATAACAGTATAACTTAATGGCGTAAGGTGTGGTGTTATATATGTACATTTTCAAATAAATAAATAAATAAACCTCACTCACGCGACGAAACACAACACTCTGGTTGAGCCGAAAAGTCAGTCAATCAGTGAGTGAGTGAGTGAGTGAGTTACTCAGTCAGTCAGTCTGAGGTTCAGAGTTAGATATACTGACAGACAGATTGTTAGTTGAGTAATATTCACATGTAAACAGCAGCCCAGAATTTTTAAAATATCACTAACATAATATGTTTTATGGTGAAGGAAGACATCGTGAGGAAACCTGTACTTATAATTTCTAATTATAAGTTTGAAATCACCAACCCGCATTGAGCAAGCGTGGTGGTTTTTTTTAAGGGGGGGGGAAATCATTAAATGACTGCTCCCGCCTGGGTGAGGCGGGAGGGAGTGTCAGACTCTTACTGACTAAAAACCACCCCGTTCCTTCTCCTGCACGTCGAGCTGGAGCCCCGGTTACCCGTTAGGTTCTCCGCGACAAGCGTGGTGGTTAATGCTCAAACCTTCTCCGTGCGAGCTGGTCAGCTGTGGCCACTTAAAGGCTGTTAATGTTTGTATTATGTACAAAATAACCCTTATTACTTAGTAAATAAGTATCATTTTTCCAGGGTAAACTTAGAAGAAGCGAATAGCGCAATAACCGTAGCTAACGCTGCTAATGCAACACAAACGACGAACACTACTGGAGAACCGCCTGTAGTGCCGCCGGGTAAGATATACTGTACATGTTGTATATACTGTATTTGCACACCCTCCACACGGTGGCTGATGTCGTAGACATATTTAACTGTACACTGAGCGAGTTCACAAGGACCACTTATTCTATAGTGTGTAAGGAAATATAGTTTGTAGTTAAAATTTGACTGCCTCGATGGCCGAGTGGTCGCAAGTGCGACTGCCGGGCAAGAGGTCTCGGGTTCGATTCCTGGGTCGGGCAAAGTATTATTGGGTTTAAAAAATCTCAGTAGTAGCACGGAGTCTGGAATTGTGCCCGGTAAATGGCAATAGGCTCACCCCCTATTACATGGGACTCATAACATAAATAGTGAAAAGTGGGTGTTACTTCTGTGGACACCTCTGCCTACCCCCTCGGGGATAAAGGGCGTGATGTTGTGTGTGTGTGTTAAAATTTTAATAAGTTTATAGTTTAATATAGTTCATAGTTAATAGTTTAGGAAACATATTTTAAGTTACTATGTCGAATTAGGTTAAGTTATCTGTAATGGCAAAGTAATTGAATTAAATTAAATAAATTAAATTAACGATGGGGTAGGCAGAGGTGCACATATACAATGACTGCACGTTTGACGCGGTGGCTGGGCAACCGGCTGCCGCGCAATGTGTAGCGGGTTCGATTTCGTCGTCAAATCCGTGTGTGGTTCATAAATTGTTGTGATGTGTATGTGAATTTGTATGTTTGTTAACGCACACACCACACATGTCATGTGGAAATACTAGTGTGGGGAAACGTTTCATTTTAAAAAAATCTGGGTTTCCAGGGCAAGTTTAATAGTAATTCTAGTTTTTTGGTACCATACTTATATATTAGCACTTTATTTAATCAGTTGCGATCGCCAAATTGTGTCAAATATAGCGTTTAGTCTCTGATTCAAATGACAAGTTGAGCATACAATTGTTTTTTTTTTCTATTATACTTATTTTAATAATAACACCGGTAACTACCAGAGGCTAAAGTCCTTTCACAATGAATCTTATAACATAACTATCAAAAAATGTATCACCAGCACATCGAACCCGGCTTACCCCATTTTTAAAAAAATACTTATTTCAATTATTCATTTCAGAGGTATAATTAATTTAAAATATTAAACTACTTAGCTCCATTTTACTAAAACACCTATCTTTACGCCAACAGTAACAAACTTTGAAGATATCCCATCTAACCGGTTCCACCTGACCCGGGAGCAGTGCCTGTACATCTATGGCGGACTGATCGGTATCTGCATAGTGTTCACGTGGAACAAACTCGTCATATTCTACAACACCTGCATCAGGGCATCCGTCGCTCTACACGACAATATGTTCAGGTACAGTTACACTTTTTTTTATATAGCATAAGCCGGTAAACGATCAGACGGATCACCTGATGGTAAGCAATCGGCGTCGCCCATCGACACTCGAAACACCAGAGGCGTTACAAATGCGTTACCGGCCTTTTGGGGATTAGGAGTTTGAGGATCGTTGGGGATTCAGGGATTGGGGAAGTGGAGGGTAATTGGGCCTCCGGTAACCTCACTCATACGACGAAACACAACGCAAGCGTTGTTTCACGTCGGTTTTCTGCTCGGCCGTGGTATCACTCCGGTCGAGCCGGCCCATTCGTGCCGAAGCATGGCTCTCCCACACTTAAAGATACTGTCAAATTTACGTAACTGTTTGACGAGTAACTCGACTAGTTTCAAGCCATGCTAGAGGCTCATATCCATTCAGTAGCAGCGCTACAGTCAGCGCTACTGCGCGGAATGCTGCTGATGAATATGAGACTATAGACCACCACGGATGGGGCCCAATAGGGCCGATGCCGATACGGAGTCGCGGAGAACCTAACGGGTTAGCGGGGCTCCAGCTCGAAGTGCAGGAGTAGAAACGGGGTCGCAACCCAGCCATCGCGAAGGACACACCGGGCGTCGGGGATCGCGGGACGATCTCCGGCCACCGTAAGCGCGGGCCTGCGGACGGCGAGCATGGGTGGGTCCCCGTCCGACCAGAAACAGACCCGAGCGTACGGCGCCGAGCGTTCCGCGCGCGCCTCAAAGAGCCATCAGACCACCACAGATGGGACCCAACAGGGCTGATGCCGATTCGGAGTCGCGGAAGACTTAACGGGTGACCGGCCGGCTCGAAGTGCAGGAGTAGGAACGGGGTGGTTTTTAGTCAGTAAGAGTCTGACACTCCCTCCCGCCTCACCCAGGCGGGAGAAGTCATAAAGCATGGCTTGAAACTAGTCGAGTTCCTCTGTTCTATTTCATTTATTAGTATTTCATTGATAATGATTCAATATTCCTGTCACAGGGGAGTGACGAGTGCTCCGATGTGGTTCTTCCACCACAATCCTTCAGGCCGTATCCTCAACCGGTTCTCCAAGGACATGGGGCAGGTCGACACCTTACTGCCCGTCGCACTCGTCGACTGTCTCGGGGTAAGCACTGATAATTTGTTTTGTTTTTTGTTTTTTTTTAAACGTTGCCCCACACTGGGATTATCTCCTGTGTCGTGGGTGCGTTTACAAACATACAAGTTCACATACACATGATACCCAGACCCGAAACAACCATTCGTGGATCACACAAAGTGTTGTTCCGTGGCGGGAATCGAACCCGCGACACGTTGCATGGCAGCCGGTTGCCCAGCCACCGCACCAACCGTGCCGTCAAGTTACCGTCAATAAATATTTATTTTAATTTTATTTCAAGTCATTTTGTGTCTTGATCTTATTCTGTCTGCTGACTGCCTCGTTGGCCGAGTGGTCGCATGTGCGACTGCCGGACAAGGGGTCTCGGGTTCGATACCCGGGTCGGGCAAAGTTATACTGGGTTTTTTAAAAAAAAATCTCATTTGTAGTACGGAGTCTGGAATTGTGCCCGGTATATGACAATAGGCTCACCCTCCATTACATGGGACTCATAATATAGACAGTGAAAAGTGGGTGTTACATTGTACAGTGGCATTGGAAAGAAAGAAAGAAAGAAAGAAAAATCATTTATTTGGCAATTACACGCACAGAAAACAAAGAATATAAAAAAATAAAAATACATCTACAGAATACATACAATACATACAGAATTTTGAATAAACAATAAAAAAAAAATCTAATAAACAGAAACAGAAACTAATAAAGAGTAGGCAGAAGTGGACATTAAGTGCCGTAGTGTCCACTTCTGCCTACTCTTTCGGGGATAAAAGGCGTGATGTGATGTTATGTTATTAATACACATCTCTCTTTCCCCGTCAGTTTTTCCTAGAAGTGATAGCGATCCTGGTGGTGGTGTGCCTGGTGAACTGGTGGCTCCTGCTGCCGACGGGCGTGGTGGCCGTGCTACTGTTCCTGCTGAGGGACCTGTTCCTCAATACCAGTCGGGAGCTCAAGAGGATCGAGGCTATTGGTGAGTCATGATGCCTTGGAGACGGTGTTTTTCTAACAGACTTGGAAAAGACAGAACCAGAAGACTTAGTTAAAAATCGTGTATGCGTCCGCGATCATCTTATTCTTTTTTTATCATGTTTTTATGTTTTTTTTTATAACGTAGACCTGAAGATTTTGTTTGTTTGTTTGAATGCGCTAATCTCAGGAACTACTGGTCCGATTTGAATAATTCTTTTTGTGTTGGATAATCTATTTATCAGGGAAGACTATAGACTGCATATAAGACATCGCACTGCGACCAGTAGGAGACGAGCAGAGTTGGTAAAAAGAAGTAGCTAGTTACATTATAATTTTGGGGAGCGAAATTTAGAGGTTCCTCAAACCTCCACAAAACGGTGTAGTGAAAAGAAAGAAAAACAAAAAAAAATTGGTTACCTGTAAAGTCGGTATACGGGCGAAAGTTTTACGTGACAACGACTTTGAGTGGTAAAATATTATGTCTGTCTCTCTCGCTCTTAGGCGGGCTAAGCATGCCCGAGTGGAAGGGACGCGTGTCTTTCACTTTTTATGTCTGTCTCTCTCGCTCTTAGGCGGGCTAACCATGCCCGAGTGGAAGGGACGCGTGCCTTTCACTTTTTATGTCTGTCTCTCTCGCTCTTAGGCGGGCTAACCATGCCCGAGTGGAAGGGACGCGTGCCTTTCACTTTTTATGTCTGTCTCTCTCGCTCTTAGGCGGGCTAACCATGCCCGAGTGGAAGGGACGCGTGCCTTTCACTTTTTATGTCTGTCTCTCTCGCTCTTAGGCGGGCTAACCATGCCCGAGTGGAAGGGACGCGTGTCTTTCACTTTTTATGTCTGTCTCTCTCGCTCTTAGGCGGGCTAACCATGCCCGAGTGGAAGGGACGCGTGCCTTTCACTTTTTATGTCTGTCTCTCTCGCTCTTAGGCGGGCTAACCATGCCCGAGTGGAAGGGACGCGTGCCTTTCACTTTTTATGTCTGTCTCTCTCGCTCTTAGGCGGGCTAACCATGCCCGAGTGGAAGGGACGCGTGCCTTTCACTTTTTATGTCTGTCTCTCTCGCTCTTAGGCGGGCTAACCAAGCCCGAGTGGAAGGGACGCGTGCCTCTCACTCGCTCTCATTGTGAGCGCATAACGTGAGCGGAGCGTAACGCAGTTTCTTGAAGTGTCACCCGGCAAACCAATTTATAAGACGTTGTCACGTCAAAAGAAAGAAAACAATTCAGGCAGAATTCATTATTCTACGCAGACGAAGCTGCGAGCAACACCTATACTCGGAATTTTAATTCGATTCCGGATTTGACAATTTCAGTGTTGTCACGTTATGACAAGTACTAAATAGTGACGTTGCGAAATTATTCGATATGGAAATGAAATATTTCTGGATCGATTCTTCTCGTTTATAATTTTACTTTGGTAAACTAAGTTTATCAGGAAATTAAATATTTCTGATCGATAATTTAGTTTTGATGGTTAATAAACGATCTGAGACTGTTCTTTTATAATTGTGCGTGAAATAAATAAAAAAATGTAACCATGAAGGAACATGACAAATAAAACAGATAGATGTATTAGTGTAATAATTTATTTTATACATTGTCGCCGTCATCGCTATCGCTATCGCTGTCACTTTCTTTAACATTTATTATAAAACACACACACTGATTGTTTATCGATTTTTGTGTTCATCACTAGACTATTATATGTGGTATCATTATTTCACAAAATGACAGTAGCCAATGTCAAATCTGGAATCTAATTAAAATTCTGACTATAGTATCAAACAAATCTAATCAAGTCTTTTCTCCCACCAGCTCGAAGTCAGTCCCTGAACCACCTTCAAGCGACGGTATCAGGTCTAACCACCATCCGCGCCGCCAGACAACACCAGCGCACTCTAGCGAGGGAATTTGACAAACAACAGGACCTTCATTCTTCAGCCTGGACCCTAGTCCTGAACACTAATCGAGCATTTGGATTCTGGATGGATATGATCTGCTGTTTATATCTCGCTTTTGTGACCTTCAGCTTCTTTTTGTTCGCGTCTGAAGGTGAGTTCGTGTGCAATTTATTTTATCCTTACTAATATTATAAATCGGAAAGTGAGTTTGTTTGTTTGTTTGTTCCACTTTCACGCCGTAACTACTAAACCGATTGCTTTGAATTTTTGCAGACGTGAAGTTAGAATTCTGGATTAAATAATAGGGTACTTTTTATCCCGGAAAAATTTGATATTCTCGACGGAAAACGAAATTATTGATATAGATGGCGCTGTGTGTATTGGTTTATGTCACATAGGCTACTTTTTATACTTTTGTGACACGAGCGAAGCCGCGAGTAAAAGCTAGTTTTTTATATTTTAAGTTAGTAGGAACTCATTATAAAGTATTACATAATATATAATATCACGCGTTTTCACCCCCGAAGGGGTGCGCAGAGGTGCACATTATACCACTGTACAATGTAACACCCACTTTTCACTATTTATGTTATGAGTCCCATGTAATAGGGGGTGAGCCTATTGCCATATACCGGACATAATTCCAGACTCCGTCCTACTACAGTAATATTACTTAGATTAAAAAATAATGTGTTTAAAAAAGTTGTAAAAAAACTGAGAGGGACTACCTTGTTGGCCGAGTAGTCGCAACTGCGACTGCCGGGCAAGAGGTCTCGGGTTCGAATCCAGGACCGGGTGAAGTATTACTGAGTTTAAAAAAAAATGTCAGTAGTGGCACGGAGTCTGGAAATGTGCCCGGTATATGGCAATAGGCTCACCCCCTATTACATGGGACTCATAACATAAATAGTTGAAACGTGGGTGTTACATTGTACAGTGGCATTAAGTGCCGTAATGTGCGCCTATGTCTACCCCTTTCGAGTATAAAAGACCTTATGTTATGTGTAAAACCTACACTATAAATAACACAATACTTCTATTAACTTCCAGACACGCTAGGCGGTAACGTGGGTTTGGCGATAACGCAGGTGATAGGTCTGGTCGGCATGTGTCAGTACGGAATGAGACAGACTGCTGAAGTTGAAAACCAGATGACTTCTGTAAGTATACATATTGAAATATGTACCTACTTTTAGAAAGGAGTTTTCATTCTCCAACTATTCAAAGGCCTTAGTACTGTCGCGGAGAACCTAACGGGTAACCGGGGCTCCGGCTCGACGTGCAGGAGTAGGAACGGGGTGGTGTTTAGTCAGTAAGAGTCTGACACTACCTTCCGCCTCACCCAGGCGGGAGCAGTCATTCGATGATTTACCCCCTTAAAAAAAGGCCTTAGTACGTGTATGTTTATATTAATCGAAACGTGACTACGTTCGGCACTATGATTGGTCCGTTCATTGAAGCCGGCCAATCAAGGCGTGTGAAGTATAATGGCTGGCTCCATAAACCAACCAATCAAAGTGTCGATGCGGTCTCGTTAAGATTACTTTAAACTTTGTTACTCACGTGAATGTACTGAGTAAAGCTCCTCAACTAGTTTACTCATGACGAAGAACCCCTCTGTGGCTCGAAACTAGTAGAGGAGTTTTTCTAATTATATTCACGCGATTTTTAGTTAATTGATAGAACTGTATTTAAATGTGGGACTTAAACTTAAGTGTGGGAGAGCCATGCTTCGACACGAATGGACTGGCTCGACCGGAGTGATACCACGGTCGAGCAGAAAACCGACGTGAAGCGACGCTTGCGTTGTTTTCAGCTATCCATTCATGTTTTCAGGTTGAAAGAATACTAGAATATACCAACTTGCCTCCTGAAAACCCAGTAGATGTGGACAAGGACGCACTGAAGAAGGAGCACCCAGAACTTGACTTCGACAAGTGGCCGACGAAAGGTACGGGCCTAATTCCAAACTAAATAGTATTTTCCTTATGGAAACCCTTATTCTAATTCTCTTCATTTTCATCCTCTTCAAAAAAGTTCCTCAATTCGACCTTATTTATGCTGTTTTTTTATTAACCCCTCGAGCGTCCTTATGAGCACCCGGTGGATCATAAGAAAAAATGCTCCATGCTGCTTTCTCTTTTATAAAATCTATTATTAATGTTTTGTTTTTATTTTGACTGTATTTGTTTTATTTCTATTGTAATGATCCTTGTTTTCGTGTGCCAATGGCCAAATGAATGCATTTTCCTTTCTCCAAATGTCACGTGTGTACCCGTTGGATCATAAGAAACGCGGACGCTCGACGGGTTAAGACTGTTTAAATATGCTGCTACCTCTTATTAATATTATAATTTCTTGCAATTTACAGGTGAAATAATATTCGAGGACGTGTCTCTAGAGTATGAGAAGCCCCCGGGTGCAGGCGGGGAGCCCGCGTACGCTATCAGGGGAGTGAACTTCACAGTCAACGCGGCTGAGAAGGTCGCTGTAGTGGGACGGACTGGGGCAGGGAAGAGCTCGCTACTGAGTGCGCTGTTCAGGTGAGAATAATAGTTATTTTTTTATGGTGTTGTATGGTATAAAAGTGGAGAATTTGCTGGTTTATTTCTAGGACTAGCTTTTACCCGCGGCTTCGCTCGCGTCACAAAAGAATAATAAGTAGCCTATGTGACATATACCAATACACACAGCGCCATCTATACCAATACTTTTGTTTTTCATTGGGTATATCAATTTTTTCCGGGTTAAAAAGTACCCTATTATTTAATCCAGACTTCTAACTTTATGTCTGCAAAAATTGGTTGCCTGTAAAGTCGGTATACGGGCGAAAGTTTTACGTGACAACGACTTTGAGTGGTAAAATAATTTTAATGTGAATATTCATTCGCGTGCCTTTCACTTTTTATGTCTGTCTCTCTCGCTGTTAGGCCGGCTAACCAAGCCCGAGTGGAAGGGACGCGTGCCTCTCACTTTTTATGTCTGTCTCTCTCGCTCTTAGGCGGGCTAACCAAGCCCGAGTGGAAGGGACGCGTGCCTTTCACTTTTTATGTCTGTCTCTCTCGCTCTTAGGCGGGCTAACCATGCCCGAGTGGAAGGGACGCGTGCCTTTCACTTTTTATGTCTGTCTCTCTCGCTCTTAGGCGGGCTAACCATGCCCGAGTGGAAGGGACGCGTGCCTTTCACTTTTTATGTCTGTCTCTCTCGCTCTTAGGCGGGCTAACCATGCCCGAGTGGAAGGGACGCGTGCCTTTCACTTTTATGTCTGTCTCTCTCGCTCTTAGGCGGGCTAACCATGCCCGAGTGGAAGGGACGCGTGCCTTTCACTTTTTATGTCTGTCTCTCTCGCTCTTAGGCGGGCTAACCATGCCCGAGTGGAAGGGACGCGTGCCTCTCATTCGCTCTCATTGTGAGCGCATAACGTGAGCGGAGCGTAACGCAGTTTCTTGAAGTGTCACCCGGCAAACCAATTTATAAGACGTCACGTCAAAATTCAAAGCAATCGGTTGAGTAGTTACGGCGTGAAGGTGGACAAACAAACAAACAAACTCACTTTCAGATTTAAGATATTAGTAAGGATGGTTGTTGAAGAATATGTGTACACAGGTCTTTTGTCAACTAGGAGCGGAATAAAACAACGGACGTCTCGATAGCATAGCGTATATTCGCAGATTGTTGCGGCGGTGTTGACCGCCCTAATATAACTAACAAATAACTTACTACCACCCACTTAGTCTAAATATCAAACATACGTCACAGTTGTATTTGTAAATCTGTATAAAATGACAGAAAGACGAAATAAAGAAAAAACTTTATTTTACGCTATAAACAAGTGAAGTCTGAGGTGAAATGGGACCAGCAGCTGTAGCCAAAAGCCGTTTACCGCTTGTCTACATGTAGAATAGAAAACCAAATTATATGGAATTGACGTAAATATTGACACTTGTCAGTATTATCCCCATACATTTTGATTTCTACTTTCTCTGTCGACAAGCGCTAAAGTGGCGTTTGGCTAAAGGCACAGTTCAGCATGTGAACGACAGAGCTTTGCGTTGGTATTCTACTGACCCCTTAAGTGACTCGCCGACGAACAAGCCACCAATTAGACATCAGCAATTTAAATAATTGAATTAAACACACACAATAATGTAACAAAATAAATGAAGACAAAAAAGCACAACGTAGATCAAATCATTGTTTTACATTAAACATAATAAAAATGGAGCATGTTTATTAAAGTCAATGATGTTTTAAAAAATATAAGTTATAACAAGAAAAGAACGAAAATATATCGTCAAAAAATATTTCTACGTCATCTGACATTTTTTTGACAAGTGAGTTTATAGAGCCAATTGATCATTGACAATATATTTATTTTACAAAAATTCTAAAAACCATATTAGGTTTCGGTGTCGAGTGTAGATCACGCCACGCCTCAAGCATTCCTTTTAGAAAAATATTCGATGTACAGTTTTCACTTTTCTACGATTTTATGTACTATATAAAAATAAGTCGGGTTTTCCTTCCTGACGCTATAACTCCAGAACGCACGAACCGATTTCAACGGTTTTGCATTCGTTGGAAAGGTCCCGGGCTCCGTGAGGTTTATAAAATATATATAAAATGTTTCTTCATCTTTTAATCACCGAACGAAATGTTACATAAAACGAAGCCATCTGGTGGCGAAACGGAGTTCGCCGGGTTTGCTAGTTATATATATAGATAATTGTTAACATTACGATATGCACATAGGTCGACAGCAGTCTTAAGAGAGAAATCCATGAATTTTTCTTAAAAAATTTAGTATTCTACAGTAAGTAGTCTTAAAAAAATCCATGATATTTTAAGTTAACTCGAAATCGTATTTTTTACATATTAAAAAACTAATTACACGTGGTTGAATACTAATATTTGTCCTTGAAAACCCATAGTAATTCATTTCAGTCCGTTGATACCAAATTTGCTATGAAAGTGTGCGAGTCTCCTTTAGATTAGAATAAATTAGTAGTTACGCACCGGTACAAATCAGTCCACATTATTAGTACCTAGAAATTCCAGAATAACAGCAAGTATGTGCTAAATACCGGGACTCTTATCTTTTAAACCATTCTACCTAACTCTCGCCGAGTTCCACAACTCCCTGAGGGTTCCGGAGTTGGTCGCCGTCGTCGTCGAGTTCCGTTCCCTCCACGCGCTCGGGCAGGCCTAGTCGTCCTGAACCCGGGTTCTGTCCCCACTAGCGTGCAACCTTACAAGGGGAAGTCGGCGGTGGACATTTCGTTCGCCAGTCCTTTTTTTTAATGGGGGAAAATCATCGGATTACATCTCCCGCCTGGGTGTGGCGGTGTCAGACTCTAACTGACTAAAAACCACCCCGTTACTACTCCTGCACTTCGAGCCTGGTAAGTTCTCCGCGGCTCCGTATCAGCATCAGCCCTATTGGGCCCCATCCGTGGTGGTCTGATGGCTCTTTGAGGCGCATGCAGAACGCAACGCGCCGTACGCTCGGGTCTGGTTCTGGTCGGGCGGCGAGCTACCCATGCTCGCCGTCCGCAGGCCCGCGCTTACGGTGGCCGGAGATCGTCTCGGCATTCCCCAATTGTGTGTTCCACTGTGTCCTTAGGGTTGTTATCGCAGTGATGACACGCGGGCGTTTCCTCCTGCCCTATCAGACACAAGTACCTCCCGAAGCTCCTATGTCCGGTAAGGACCTGTGTCAGGCGTTAGGTGAGAGCGCCATAGCGTCTCTCTAGCCAGTCCTCTAAGAGGGGACTTACCACTGCAATGGCAGCGAGCCCAGCCCTCGGTTGCGACAGTCGTTGCTGCCATTCCGCCATGGGATCGCTCCGGAACTCTTCCCGCCACGCACTAATCTGGCGCGGCAGCGGAGTTTCGCCCCGGCGACATGCCTCCGCACGCAGACAAAACACGCGCGCGAAACCCTTCGTCTCCAGATCCTATGGCGGTAATCTGGCAAGGAGTTTCGCCGCCTCCCCGGAGATCGTGCGGTATCCGCAAATCATTCAGATCGCCATGATCATCTGTGACGTCAGCACAGCCCGAGCGGGCCGTCGCATCAGGTTCGGAGCACCGCACGACCCCGGCGTATAACCTCCGACAGGAGGTGTTTGACACCCCGAGGTTGGGTAGGACGCGCCTAAGCACCGCCCCCATCCTTTCCAACTTAGGAGCCAAACGTCGGAAATGCTCCACGAAGTTCCACCGACTGTCGAGGACGAGTCCCATAGGTTCCACAAGAGCGGCCCCAGAACCGAATCCTGTGGAACACCGCGCGCGTGACATCTCTCGCCGGTTCCACTCGCCCCGGTGGCCGGGGTAACTGACGGACCTGTCTGTTTGTGACTATGTACCTTATGCTGACGGACCTGCCCGTCAGGTAGGACTCGATTATACGACGGAGAAAGGTAGACACCCGATGATATCGGAGTGCCTCCAAGATGCAGCTCCAGGGCAGGGAGTTGAAGACGTTGGCGACTGCAGTCCCCGTCTTGAGGTTGTGTGGCGTGCATGATGACGTCTACCGTGGAGCGCCCTCTGCGGAAGCCGAACTGGCCGTCCGACAGGTCCGGCCCAATATCCGTCAGGTGCCCGACGAGGCGGTTCGAAATGATTCTTTCGAAGACATTCCCCACGTCGTCGAGCAGCACTATGGGCCGGTACGCGGACGGAGAGTCCGCAGGGCGCCCCGTCTTCCGAACGAGGACCAGTTTGCCCGCTTTCCACAGCAGCGGGAACTGGCCTCTGTCCAAATATGCGCTGTAGAGACCGATCAATCGAGGCCAGGAACTCGAGTCACAGTCGAGTGGTCGCAAGAGCTGGCAGCTCTACGTAAGGCGTGCACTATTGCGCGATGCCTGTACACTAGGCACCGTATTCGTCCTCCAAACGCGGAGGCGAGAGAGGCGGAGTTGTATGAGGGATACAGAGTGGCAAAGGCCGCCGTCAAGGCGGGTATAAACCAGGCCAAAGAGGAGGCCCGCCGAGAGATGCTGGCGACGAAACACAACACAAGCGTTGTTTTCCGTCGGGTTTCTGTGAGATCGTTGTGTCACTCCTGTCGAGTTGGCCCATTCGTGCCGAATCATGGCTTTCTCACTCTTGAAATCCTCCGAGTGAGTCCGAATAACGACGGGAGGGGTTAACATCGGCGTCGAGACGACGATGAAGTACCTGGGACTCGCCCTCGATAATCAGTGGAACTTCGTGGAGCACTTCTGATGTTTGGCTCCTAAGTTGGAAAGGACGGGGACGGCGCCTCAACGCGTCCTACCCCTCGGCGGGCCAATCGCCGGAGGTTATACGCCAGAGTCGTACGATCCATGGCCCTGTACAGCGCCCTTGTGTGGGCGCCCAACCTGATGCGACGTCCCGCGCGGGTGCTGCTCACATCCCCGAGGATCATGGCGATCCGAATGATGCGCGGATACCGCACGATCACCGGGGAGGTGGCGAACCTCCTTGCCGGATTACCGCCATGGGATCGGGAGGCGAAGGTGCTCGCGCTCGTAATTTGCTTGCGCGCGGAGGTACGTCGCCGGGGCGAAACTCCACTGCTGTGCCAAATTAGTGACGGAATGGCAGCAACGACTTTTTTTTATGGAATAGGAGGCAAACGAGCAGACGGCACCTGATAATAATAAGCGATCAGCGCCGCCCATGGACACCCGCAACACCAGAGGAGTCACAGGTGCGTTGCCGCCCTTTTAAAAAGGAATACGCTCTTTTCTTGAAGGTTTGAAGGTCGTATCGGTTCGGAAATACCGCCGACGACAGATCATTCCACAGTTTTGCTGTGCGAGGCAGAAAGCTACGTGAGAAGCGCACAGTTGTGGCCTGCCAACCATCTGTATGGTGAGGATGTATATGGTGTCGTGAGGATCGATGGCGTGACATGTCTACGCATTGCCAAAGTGTCTAGCGGGTTTGAAACATCCCGACATCCAACAATCCGAACGGCACGCCGCTGATGACGCCGTTCAGAGGAGGAAGCTGGTACTGCCCCTGCCCAAAGATGAGAACAGTATTCCATGTGGGGCCGCACCTGGGCCTTATAAATGAGATGATGGTCAAACGTCGACCTATAAAGTATAAAAAAAAAGTATAGAAGCAGGCGGTGGGCCGGGGTGAAATACTGCCTCGAACTATTGAGCACACCAAGCTTTCTCGACTGCACCTCACAACCGAGGTCTGGGCTCGCTGTCATTGCAGCGATAAGATAAGTCCTCTATTCGAGGAGTGGCTCGAGAGACGCTATGGCGTCCTCATCTACCGCTTGTTGCCACTGCTTACCGCGCAGCTTTGGCAGGTACCTGTGTCTGATAGGGTGGGAGGAAACGCCCGGGTGTCATCACTGCGAAGACTGCCCTGAGGACACGGTGGAACACAGGAGCATGCCCTGCGTGGGTCGTGCTTGCCCGCCGTGCCCTCAGGGATGTGATTGATGACGGCGATCTCTCGCTACCGGCCCTAGTTTGGACCATGATGCGGAGCGAGGAGGACTGGGATGCCGTCTCCTCCTTTTGCGAAACAGTCATGCTGGCGTGCGAGGCAGCGAAGCGCTACCTCCTCACAAGCCAGCCGTCGCGAAAGATACTCCGGGCGTCAGGGATAGCGGGGCGATTTCCGACCACCGGCACGGGCTTGCGGACGGCGAGCATGGGAAGCTCGCCGTCTGACCAGAACCAGACCCGGGCATACGGCGCGTTGCGTTGCACGCGCCTTAATGAGCCACCAGACCACCACGGATGGGGCCGAATAGGGCTGATGCCGATACGGAGCCGCGGAGAACGTAAGAGGTTACCGGGGCTCCGGCTCGAAGTGCAGGAGTAGGAACGGGGTAGTTTTTAGTCAGTAAGAGTCTGACACTCTCTCTCGTCGCACCCAGTGGGGAGAACTCATTCGATGATTTTCCCTACTTAAAAAAAGGTCATAATGGTTTAAAACATAGCCTTTTAAACCATTAAACTTGATTGGACTTCGATACAACAATAGTCTCGGAAAAGGACGCCTGAGGGTTTTCAACCGCTGTATCTATTCAATTGGAATTTGGTACAACAATGGTTGACAACCCAGGAAACGTCATTGAATAGTTTTTATTATTGAAACCTCGCGGGAACGGATGCTATACCGATAAAACCCCTGTGGGATTGATTACGAACATAGATTGAAGTACGTAATCAATTCTGATGAGATTTGTCACACCGCATTGGGATTAATTTTGGAAAAGACCATATAAAAACATCTGAATTCTGCCAGAGCCATTATTATACACGCACGAAGTCGCGGGAAACACCTAATATAAAATAAAGTTATGCATTATTATTATGTTATTGTTGAAATAACAAATCATTATTGTCAGTTCATTTTCGTCCACTGCTAGACATATTTTATACATGGGATAATTGGTCTATGTCCCGTCCGCAGGCTAGCCCGCGTGTCAGGCTCGGTCCGCGTGGACGGCGTGTCGGCTCAGGCCGCTGGGCTGCGCGCGTGGCGCTCCCGCCTGTGTGCGCTGCCGCAGCGCCCTGCACTGTTCGCGGCCGCACTCAGGGACAACCTCGACCCGGAGGGGGTCTATACTGACGCTGACATATATAGGGCGTTGGATCAGGTTGGTACTGCTTTGTTCTTATTTGTTTTATTACTATACATTTGTATGTAACATTTCAGATCTTTACAATTACCATTTCATAACACATCTGTGATGTAACAAATTTAATATTCTCCTTAATCGGGTACACGACACCCGCGGGAAATGTAGCGCTGGTGAATGTATTCTACCCCTATAAAAACTATCCCTAATGATCTTTCCAGGTGGAACTAAGAGAAATGGTAAGCAAGATGCCAGCCGGCCTGAATACTAAGGTGGGGGACGGAGGGGGGAACCTCTCCGCGGGACAGAGACAACTCATCTGTCTCGCTCGCGCCGCCCTCGCAGGGTGCAAGGTTCTAGTACTTGATGAGGCAACTGCCAATGTTGATACTGAGTGAGTACCCTTTGAATTAAAACTCTCTACTTTTATATTAAAACTTTCGTTAGACATACTGAATTAATTATTATGTTGTCTAGTTTCATGACAACTCGACTAATTTCAAGTCATTCTAGGGGCTCATATTCATGAGCAGCATTACTTATGTAGGGGGTGAACCTGTTGTCCACTTCGGACACTGATTAAGGAATATCCCCTTCAGAATGTCAATTAATCCCCAATCTCGTTCCCCAGCACGGACAAGCACATACAGCGCACGATCCGCACAAAGTTCGCCCAGTCCACAGTACTCACCATCGCGCACAGACTCAACACTGTCATGGACTACGACCGAGTCATTGTTATGGACAAGTACGTATACCACTTTGTTGGACATTTGTCATTGACTAGGACGGCTGTACTCAACCTTTGTTGACTAGGAAGATACGTTTCAGTCATGGCATCCCGGGCCGCAAGCGAGAAATCACATAACGTAACATCACGGCGTTTATCCCCGAAGGGGTAGGCAGAGGTGCACATTATACCACTGTACAATGTAGAATAGAATAGAATAGAATAGAATCTTTATTTGCATAAAATGTAGGTACATAATGGTGATAATAATAACATAGTCAAGGTGCCATATACATCTTGCCGCTTGGAGACATGCAAATCTTTATACAGTTCAAATACTTATCACAGAAATAGAACATTTAACAATTTATCTAAATTATAAGTTTACAGTCTATACCTCACAGATCGCTCACAATTGTAGAATTTACATGGGTTTTTAACACCCACTTTTCACTATTTATGTTATGAGTCCCATGTAATAGGGAGTGAGCTTTAGCCATATACCGAGCACAATTCCAGACTCCGTGCTACTACTGAGAATATTTAAAAAAACCCAGTAATTCTTTGCCCGACCCGGGAATCGAACCCGAGACCCCTTGCCCGGCAGTCGCACTTACGACCACTCGGCCAACGAGGCAGGCGAGAAATTATTAAATCATAAATGAAACGTAAATCAAAGGTGACGATGTATTTACTTTGTAAATAATACGACAAGACATTCTCCATCATCAGGAAGTCCTAGTGTGGGACGTTTTGTTAAAAGGAAAAGAAAGATTATCTCGCGATTGGCTAAACCGATTTTGATGCGGTTTTGAGTAGCGTTCGATACATTTAGGAGAAGGTTTCACTATATTAACTTGTTGTATGTCAGTACGTATGTGAGACACAATAGAACACACATTGTGTCCCGCGTACATCTGTGCTTCGGCACACCGCGGGGTAATTAACCGACTTCCAAATAAAGGGGGGGTTGAAGTCGGCTTTTTAGCGTAGTTTATAAAGAATAGGGTAGATGCCTAATTTTTATTGGAATGTCCGTCTGATAGATTATTTTAAATCATTAGACACGTATTTTTAATTTTCTTACAGAAACTAATACTTTTATTGATTTGAAATGTCGCGTGACGTCACTTCTATGTACATTTTATACGTAGAAATGACGTTTAGCCCCTGCTTCTAAACTTTGATTCGTTTTATCTAAGTGTTATTTTATTATACAACAAAATAAAAAAATACGTGTCTAATATTTTTTCATTACCTAACTTACGGACTAAATAGACATTTTCATATACTGTCATCATCCCTATCGTGTATCTATCTATAACTATGATTAGTTACGTGTTATCATGAACTGTCCTAGTATTGACTACGGCCCTAGTTTATGTAATGTATCATGATATTGTTACAGAGGTCGTGTGGCGGAGTCGGGGCACCCATTCGAGTTACTGACGCAGGCCAGTACTCAACGGAAGGATGACACCGCCGCACTGCCCAGGAACAGGATACTGTCTAAGAGCCAGGTTAGTTGAGTCAAATGTTAATTATTTTAGTACTAGCTTTTACCCGCGGCTTCGCTCGGGTCACAAAAGGATAAAAAGTAGCCTATGTGACATATACCAATACATACAGCGCCATAGCAATACTTTTGTTTTCCCTCGGGAATATCAAATTTTTTCGGTATAAAAAGTACCCTATTATTTAATCCAGACTACTAATTTTACGTCTGCAAAAAATCAATGCAATCGATTTAGTAGTTACGGCGTGAAGTCGGAACAAACAAACAAACTCACTTTCCGATTTATAATATTAGTAAGGATTAATGATGATCTATCTTGTTTTGATTAATATTAATGTTTTGAGTTTGATTTTGACTTTGACGTTTCTAGTTTCACTTTGACATTGATTTGATATTAAGTTTTGCATTGGACCTTCATATTGACGTTGACTTACTTACCTTTTAATTATTTTCAATTTCTCAATGTATTTGCTTATTAAATACCATGAAATAGTCTTCCCTGTTTGGCCGCCAGGCGCCGCTAGCAATCCCCGAGAACTTCACGTTCGAGCCGAGTACAGCTCCCAGTACCGACCAGAACGAAACACTCGTGTTGGCTAGAGACAGGATACGGACTTACTCTGGACGGTATGTTACTGATATTACTATACATAACATCACGCCTTTTATCCCCGAAGGAGAAGGCAGATGTGCACATTACGGCACTTAATGCCACTATACAATGTAACACCCACTTTTCACTATTTATGTTATGAGTCCCATGTAATAGGGGGTGAGCCTATTGCCATATACCGGGCACAATTGCATACTCCGTGCTACTAGTGAGATTTTTTTAAAGTTATACTTTGTCCGACCTGGGAATCGAAGCCATATTGATGTGATTGAGTTACAAACATGCACACAAACTCACATACTTTCGCATTTATGATATTTGAACATAATATAACATCACGCCTTTTATCCCCTAAGGGGTAGGCAGAGGTGCACACAGAAGCAGCACCCACTTTTCACTATTTATGTTATGCCATGTAATAGGGGGTGAGCCTATTGCCATATACCGGGCACATTTCCAGACTCCATGCTGCTACTGAGATTTTTTTAAAGCTCAGTAATTCTTTGCCCGACCCGGGAATCGAACCCGAAACCCCTTGCCCGGCAGTTGCACTTGCGACCACTCGGTATTTGAACTTGACTAGTTCCAAGCCATACTCAGGAGCACTCACACATACTTACAATAGTTATAATACAAACAGTATTATATCATCTAATTCCTTATGTTGTAGGTCGGAGGTATCAGAGCCAGAGAGCGGCGGTATCTTCAAGACGCTGGTGGAACAGACCGGGCAGGAGACTGCCGCCCTACTGTATAAGATGGCTGAAGAGGTACACAATTGATACTCATATTTATACACCGTCACATATATTTCGGAAAACAGCTCGCCATAAGGAGTACGTTCGATGTACCTCTATATAAGTAAAAACAAAAAATGTATAGTTTAAAACAATAATGGAAATACGCACATGAAACACTAGACGTACATTTGTAGACACTATCCGCATCGCACGTGTCACCCGACGAGGAATACCTCTTAGAGAATTACATGGCGCGCTTAACAACATAACATCACGCCTGAAATGCGATGATTTTATAGTTTAACAGCGACACGGTTCGACTTTTAATTATTGACTGCAACATACCTCCAAGCAATGTTGACGCTGCACTTTATATGTAATTAGTTTTAACGTGTGTTACTTTGGCATTCAATAAACGACACTTGAACGAAATGGTTTTCTTTTAAACTCCGAACATTACATGGCGACCCTGCCAGTGCTGCCACAGGGGCAGCGCTGCGCACGAGTACAATATTAGATACTGCCATCTGCTGCCATCGAACCTTACAACCCGTAGGAAGATAAACTAACACGAAGAGCAATTAAGAAGAAATTCAATAAAGAAGTGAAACAAAGGTTATCTAATGGGGAAGTCATACAGCAAAGACGAAGTCGTGATAGCGCAAACTGCGAGTGGTGATGCCCAAGCCACGCAGAAGCATTCCTCACTGCTGAACACCGGCGAAATTTTGATGATTGTGGTCCTTGTCCTCGTCGCCTCTTCGCTCGTTTACTACTTAAGCAAGAAGTGCCACCATCATATAGTTAAAACACTGCGTCGTGAGTTGAATCGGCACCTATTGCAAACAACCACCTCTACCCTACAATTGACGCCGTCCTCGTCATTACCGTCGTCTTCACCAGCCTAAGAAAAAAGAAGCCAGGCCAGGGAAATCCCGGCCATCCAGCGGAGTCCAGGGTTATCCCGGCCCAAGCAGCAAGACCGACCCAGTTCCGCCAAGTAGCGTCGAGTCGAGGTCCTGCCGAGTAACGCCAAGGGAAAGAAAATTTTGCGACGCCAGCCTCCATCAATTTGAGAAGATGCAACTTTGTTCGGTATCCTTTTATTAAGTAATATGATAAATGAGTTAATAGCAATTCAAACAACGTTGAAAGCCATTTATGACTATTTAATTAAGATAGGTCGAGAGCGCAGACAAAAAGAGATAGGATACAAGAAAATAAATGAAGCTAAGTGTGCCTATGAAAAATTAAATAATACTTTGTCTCGAGTGTACGAACAGTTAAATAAATCAGAAATAAAGTCTACAGACATAGACATAATAAATAAAACTGTAGACGAAATTACTAAGATCTATAGTAAAATAATTTCTTTAGTTCCAACGCCAACTGTAATTTCACAATCCACTACCATGACATTAGATAATTTCGATATGAAAACAGCCATCTCCCTGTTACCTGTTATGACAGGAGCAGAAAAAATTACCAAACAACTAATAGATGGCATAGATCTCTATAGCTCTATGATTACAACTGACGCGAACAATCAATTAATTAAATTTGTTTTGAAAACTAGATTATCAGCTAGTGCAAAGTTAAGAATGAATACGTCATACTCCTGTGTACAAGATTTGCTCACAGACATGAAAAAACATTTATTACAAAAAAAAAATCATCCGTCGCCCTTCAGGCACAGTTACATAGAGCAAACCAAGGGCATCGTTCTATAGAGTCTTTCGGCTCCGAATTAGAAGAACTTTTTGTTAATTTGACAGTTTCACAAGCCGACGATGACAGTGAGAAATATAATATTCTTCGCCCCATTAATGAAAAATTAGCTATTAAGCGTTTCGCCGATGGCCTTGCGGATACTCGATTAAGTACAATAATAGCGTCAAGACAATTTCAGTCACTTCCAGATGCTATTCGTGCCGCTATTGATGAGAGTTCTATGGCTCCTGAAAGTGAAGTCATGCAGGTAAGAAATAGCCAAAACTCTCGGTCTCGTCCCAACAACTCAAACTATAGGCGGAATTCGCAGAACTTTAATCGCGGTCCCAATTTCATTAATAAACGATTACCCAATAATAATTCAAATAACAACAGTTGCAAAAACTCAGACACCAACAATGACAACAATAACAATACGGATAATTATTTGCGCAATAATACACAAGTGTGGAGGAACAACAATTGGAATCCGCGAAGACGTTTCGCAAGATACAATCCGCGGAATATTTCTTATAATCAATCATCAATGACTCACATGGAAGATAATGCACAAATCCAAAGTGAGGCAACTTCAAATAATTTCGAAACCGAGAATGAGTTTATTCGTGGCGAAACAAATTGAACATTTTGTTTATAACTATAATAGTAATAGCATTATAACATGTAGATTATTTAATAGACTTATTAATTTACTTGCAGATAGCGGGGCAAGTCTTTGTGTAATTAAGTTTGAATGGTTAGAAAACAAATTACCTGAAATATTAAAATTTATAATTAAGGAGCAAATAGTAATAAAAGGGGTAACCGGTAATTTAGTTTCTCAAGGATATATTGATTTAAACTTAGAATGTCAAGGAACTTTTTTCTCGGATAGATTTTATGTTTTTAGAAGCTTATCTTGCGCAGCAGATGCGATATTAGGGAGAAAGTTTTTAGAAAAATATAAAGAGTTATAAATTTTGATAACTGCACACTGTCTTTGAAAAACAGAGATATGTTAGTTACAACAAATATCTTAGGTAACGGTACCTACACACATGTTATACCACCTCGTTGTGAAATAGTACGCTATATTCCAACTTCATTATGTAGTGACTGTGTGGTGTTAGCTAAAGAAATAGCCTCACATCCTGGCATTTTTGTCGCGGGCATGATTGCTAAACTAAAAAATGGACAAATTCCATTACGGATATTAAATATAACCAATAAGGAAATAAAGGTGAACTTTCATAACATTGAAATATATAGTTTAAATTATTTTGATGCGTGTTCTTTTGATGAAGAACGAGTCTCGGTAAAACGCGTAAAGACGTTATTTGGTTTATTACAGTTGAGTTCGTATTTGAATAAAGAGGAACAAATATGCATAGAAAATATTTGCGCAAAATACGCAGACGTTTTTCATTTACCCGGCGTATGCGAGTAGGAGTTTGAAACCAGCAGAAACTAGATATCCAATAATTGAATTGGAATTATTAGCAATCGTATGGGCAATTAGGCATTTTCGACCGTATTTATATGGAAGAAAATAGGATTCTTACGGATCACAAACCATTGGTTTATTTGTTTGGAATGTCTGATCCATCTAGCCGATTAACTAAATTTAGATTATACCTTGAGGAATACGAATTTGATATAGAGCATGTACCAGGTCGCCTTAATGCAGCCGCAGATGCATTAAGTCGAATCCCATTAAGCTGTAAAGATTTAAAAGAAATGCGACAGCAAGTGATATCGGTTATGACGCGCGCGCAATATAGAAAGTTGTTAGAACCCGAAGTAGATAACAGACACACGGACTTGACGCTAGGAGACTCCACTACTACGCGGCCTGATCAACCAAAGGTGGTGGAAATTCTCAAAAAACCCAATGACGTAATTGAACTGATAATAAGTTCTAATGACAATTTTAAAAGACAATTATTAAAATTAGAAACGGTATCTGAAGAGTCTGGTAATTGTCTATACGTACCTTCGCAATGCTGTATTATTCTATTTTCTCGATCGTTATCAACTATTAAAGTGTTAGCGAGAGAACTAGAATATTTATGCTCAAAATTAAACATTTGTGAGCTCGTAGTTGTAAAGAATGAAAGTAATAAAATATTACTTCAATATTTATTAAAGGAAATGAAAGCATCGAAGGTACCACGTTTTCTTGTTACTAGAGATGTGAAACGTATAATTGATAAAGATGAAAAACGTATTATTTTAAATGATTTTCATCTATTACCTACTAGCGGCCATGCGGGGGTAAATAGGATGTTAAATAATATTAAAAAATATTATTTTTGGACAGGAATGTCCAGTGACGTCACTAACTTCGTGAAAACCTGTAAACAATGTCAGGTTCAAAAGTTTACGAATAAACAAATTCGAGAACCAATGTTTATTACCACCACACCAAACTAAACTTTCGAGAGATTAAGTTTAGATTTAATGGGCCCAATAGAAGTAGATAGTTTTAATTATAAATATATTCTAACGTTACAATGCAATTTGTCAAAGTATGTGGAAGCGTATCCTCTAAAAACAAAAGATGCGGAGACAGTTGCGAAATCTTTTGTGAATAATTTTATCTTGCGTTATGGGTTACCTAAAGAAATAATAACTGATCAGGGGACAGAATTTATGTCGTCGATCATGACAGGAATCTGCAGTTTGTTAGGAATCAAAAAATACAATAGCACGGCTTATCACCATCAAACACTTGGTGCTTTAGAAAATACCCATAAAAATTTAGGAGCATTTCTTAGAATGCAGTGCGAAAGTACTAGTATAGATTGGAGCACATGGTTGCCATACTGGTGCTTCTCATATAATACTACCGTACACACTGAGACAAAGTATACGCCTTATGAGCTCGTCTTTGGAAAACTATGTCACTTGCCAACAAATTTGCAAACTAATTCAGTAGATCCTGTTTATAATGATGAAAATTATCCTATAGAGTTAAAATTTCGATTACAAAAGGCACAATTTGATGCAAAATCAAACCTTGTTCAAAGTAAACAAATTAGAAAAAAATCTTATGACAAAAAACTTAATTCTATAACTTACAAAGAAGGAGACTTAATTTTATTAAAAAATCAAGTAGGTAGCAAATTAGACAAAATTTATAGTGGACCATATAAAGTCATTGAGGATCTTGCACCAAATGTGAAAATTATAAAAAATAATAAGGAATATGTAACGCATAAAAATAATACAAAGTTATTTCATAATTGATTTTATTTTGTAATTTACTTATAAGCTTAGTTTAAGTATGTGTAACAATCTAATAAGGTTTTAAAAAAAAAATGTAGTCAACATTGTTTGCAGCCTTCATTTTTTTTTCCTTTTATAAGGGGGATGAAGTGTGTACTTTTTCGGGGGAGTTGAAATGCGATGATTTTATAGTTTAACAGCGACACGGTTCGACTTTTAATTATTGACTGCAACATACCTCCAAGCAATGTTGACGCTGCACTTTATATGTAATTAGTTTTAACGTGTGTTACTTTGGCATTCAATAAACGACACTTGAACGAAATGGTTTTCTTTTAAACTCCGAACATTACACGCCTTTTATCCCCGAAGGGGTAGGCAGAGGTGCACATTATGCCCCTGTACAATGTAACAGTGTTACAGTAACACCCACTTTTCACTATTTATGTTATGAGTCCCATGTAATAGGGGGTGAGCCTATTGCCACATACCGGGCACAATTCCAGACTCTGTGCTACTACTGATATTTTTAAAAACCCAGTAATACTTTGCCCGACCCGAGCATCGAACACGAGACCCCTTGCCCGGCAGTCGCACTTGCGACCACTCGGCCAACGAGGCAGTCATTAACTACATGGCGTGATGTTTTGATAATGTACTATGAGTTCGTATGCGCTTTCGAAGTTTGCGTTGCAATGGTTCACCAGTTATTTTTTGTTTTAAACATTTTATTTGTTTGTAAAACTATTGTATTACCGAGACAGAACCATTTTACTTCGGGACGCAAACGAAATAGATTTCACGGAGTATACTTTATTATAATTGAACTAGTTCTGCCAGCGGCGTCACCCGCGTTCTCAGTATTAAAAGTTCAACCACAATGTGCCACTGTAACACTGTACCAAATTAGTGTTTATTTATTCCACCAAAAGTGTGGGAGAGCCATGCTTCGGCACGAATGGGCCGGCTCGACCGGAGTGATACCACGGCCGAGCAGATAAACCGACGTGAAGCAACGCTTGCGTTGTGTTTCGTCGTGTGAGTGAGGTTACCGGAGTCCCAATTACCCTCCCCTTCCCCAATCTCCCCAATCCTTGAATCCCCAACGATCCTCAAGCACCTTGTCCCCAAAAAGCCGGTAACGCACTTGTAACGCCTTTGGTGTTCCGGGTGTCCATGGGTGACGCCGATTACTTACCATCAGGTGATCCGTCTGCTCGTTTACCGGCTTATGTCATAAAATAAGAAGTTTTTTTTTTAAATTAAAAACAATACTTAATTTTACCTAAGAATGGAACCCCAACCTCGTCCAATATATTTTATCAAACTAATGTAATATTTTATTTATCTTTACAGAGCTACAACAAAATGCTGGAATCGAAGAAGAATTCGTGAATTTACACAACAATGTACTGGTCTCGATACATTCCTGCCTAGTGCCTTAACGCAACGGTAGCGTAATGTAGATATATCCTATTAGATATATTACACAATATATTTACAGGAATTTTTTACACGAAAATATGAAACAAACAACATGAGAATTCCTATTAAAATGAGAATTTATTAAAAGTTTAAAAAACAACTAGGTTTTACCCGCGGCTTTGCTTGTGTATATTAAAAGTCTATGGGCCGTTATCATAATCCACCTCTAAATCATATCTTAACTAAGAGCTACTTAGCATGAGAACCGTGCTGTTAAGTGTCACCTACAAGTTGATGAAACACAAAATCGCCCGCGCCCGTGCGGCCCGGCCATAATGTTACAGTTGATACAAGTTGTTTTTTAAACGACATGCATTTAATGCAGTTGGGATTGGTGAATTTGCATTGAATATGTTAATTTTGAGACATCACAAATAATTATAATTTAATTATAATAAAGGCTATCGGTTTCTTGCTCACTAGATGTCGCTAACATAGTTTGAAGTCTGTCCAATCACTGTAGCTGTCAAATTAATACTGTTCAATGGTTTGACGCTCGCTACATTTCTATTGGACAAAAAGGACATCTTGCTACTTTAGCCCCATCTGGTGCGCAAACAAGTGATAGTCCTTTATTACTGAATTTCCCTGAATATGTTGAATTCATATTTAATTTTATGTAATTGAATTTGTAACACAGGAATTCCTAATATTCCCGTTTGTTTGGAAAAAACGGGAATTCCTGTGAATGTTTTTATTTGAATAATATACTATTATTGAATTATTTTATTATAATTTTGGAATTCTGGCAATTCCTATTTGCATGTGAAACGCGGGAGTTCCTGCGAATATTTTTATCTACTTGAAACAATGTGTAAGTACTTAAAATATATATTTATTGTTGTACTTAAATTCTCCACGGTATTGTAAAATATGGGAATTTATATTTCTTTCAATAAGAAACTTTAAAGTTCCCGATGAGAAAGGAAATGTAGTTTGTTGTGTCGATATTAGAACCATCACATACAAAATGTCGAGCTACTAAAAGTGCACCAAAATGAGAATTGGTATAATTAGCACAAACATTGTTATTATTACAAAATGATGTCAATTGGAATTTGCGCAACTTTGCGCTTTCAATTTTGCGCATACATACATACATACATAACCTCACGCCTATCTCCCACGAGGGTAGGCTATATGTACTATGGACCATCCCTTAATAGAGCTATGATTCCTAACATATTCATACTTTTAATAAAATAACGTGATTAGAATTAATTAGCGTCAATTTTAAAAAATGCCTTATAATTGTAAAACAACTATTAATTTTGCAATAACTACATGAGCTGGGACTCGAACTTTCTACTTACCGTGGTGTCGATGCTGTGCCTTTAGCCAAACGCCAATTTAGCGCTTGTCTACAGAGAGAGTAGAAAACTAAATGTATGGGGATGACACTGACAAGTGTCAAAATTTACGTCAATTCCATATAATTTGGTTTTCTATTCTACATGTAGACAAGCGCTAAATGGCATTTGGCTATAGCCGCTGTTTAGAACTGAGCTATCGTGTCTATAATATTATTTAGTATGTAAGTAATAAACTAAAGATTGATGCAGTACAGAGCCAGTATCTATTGATATATAAATTGTACGCTTTGTAACGAAGCCATGTCTTCTGTAACTCAGTCGGCTCTAGACAACCAATGGCTACTGTCTCTGTACTGAATACATCTTTGTTTCATTACCTGCATACTGAAAGACTTGGCCAATAATTCTTCCTAATTGTGCCTGTGTTGTGTTTGTCAATTACATATTGTCAATTTTATACTTGTATAACTTAACGCCTTGTTTGACCTAAAAGAGGTAAGCAGAGGCGCTTCATACATTCACCAGCTATGTCTATAATACCATTTTAGTTGATAACTTTGTCATTAAAAGTTTCGTCTAATGAAAATATTCCATAATTATCGAAATGGGTATCAAACTTAAGACTCCGTGCTAAGCTTTATATTTTTAATTTAATGTAATTATTATAGAACATATACGTCCGAATAAAAATGCCATAGGATAAAAACTAGAACAAATAATGTCGATAATATTAGCCCAACACTAGAAAGTATCGACTTAAAATATGTCGATAAAACTACTTCTAAGAACAACACTAGTTCGTGGTAGAAAATTGAGAATTATGAGCTTTATCACATTGTTATAAAGTCAATTGTTCAATGGTATCACGATTTTATTATGAAACATCGAACAATGTTACATATAAACAGGGATTCTTGTATTTATCTATTGGAATATATTTTAAAACGTTCATTTTGTAATCATCGACATCGACAGCCGGCGACAGGCCACTGCTGGACTAATGGCCAAGTACTCAAATGTAGCCCAATTTACGTCGCGCTCAACTATAGTTCTGTCTCTACAAACTGTTTGGAAAACGACAGAGACGGCACGATATTTATGTACTACTTAGAATTGAGTAGTTATTAAATATTAGCTTTTACCCGCGGCTTCGCTTGCGTCACAAAAGGATAAAAAGTAGCCTATGGGACATATACCAATACACACAGCGCCATCTATACCAATACTTTAGTTTTCCCTCGGGAATATCAAATTATTCCGGGATAAAAGTACCCTATTATTTAATCCAGACTTCTAACTTTACGTCTGCAGAAATTCAAAGCAATCGGTTTAGTAGTTACGGCGTGAAAGCGGAACAAACAAACAAACAAACAAACTAACTTTCCGATTAAAATGTTAGTAAGGATTCGGGCGTAAGAGCCTCCTCTACATAAGATAGGCTTGGCTGGCACGGTAGAGGGCGCCGCTGTTCAGTCTCTGTCCAACGAGTCGTCTCTTCAGTCTGTTCTTGCGACCCCGGGGAGAGCAGCGGGGGCGACAGATGCCGGTAACTCCTCTACCGTTCCCCAATGGCTTCATATTCCAGCGAAGTTGTAAAGGCCTTTTAAAATATGTTCCATTGATAGAATGAGATTCTTTACTATTACAATATGCATGATATTACATTACACCCAGTTTCAATGACCTAGGTTAGGTTCGCCTGTTCGCGTCCATGATACGGAACGTCCTTGAAAATACCGGCAAATAAGAAAACTGTCGCCATATAAGTAGTATTCAGACTACACGGTTGATGCGGTGGCTGGGCTACCGTGTTTTGGGTTCGATTCCCACACGGAACAACTCTTTGTGTGATCCAAAAATTGTTGTTTCGTGTATCATGTGTATGTGAACTTGTATATTTGTTATCGCACCCACGACACAGGAGGAAATCCTAGTGTGGGGCAACTTTATCAATTAAATGTATTTCGTACACATCTGTTTGACCTTCTCACGTTTTAAGTATCTTACATTCATGGCGCTCTGTTAAATGGTCGCGAACTGGTGGGTGGGCACGAACAGGTGAACTTACCTTATCTGTAGATTTGCTCACTATAGATACACTGTCGACATACGACAAGACTTGAGGCCTTAGTACGAATAACTATCGCATTCGTGACGTACTAGTATCGAGCGCGTACAGCACTATGATTGGTTGGTTTAATTAGAGCCGGCCAATCAGAACGCCGATCGCGTGCACGTACTTTAATCGTAAAACAAATTCGAACTAAGCTTTAAATACTCGCTTTTTTCCTTTCGGAGTGGAAAACGGTCTTAGAGCCGATTGTTTAATCATCAGTTCATTCTTCTGTAGAATAAAATTGACATTTGACAGTTTCCAGTATTGAAGAATTGTCAAATATTCAAAGTAATTACACAGTTCCAATTTATCTGTAAGCAAATCTACAATTCGATGCATTATTCAAAACTGGCCCTGGAAATGAGAAAATGTAAAAACGAATGTACTTAGGTAGTCGATTCATGTGAAAAATGTAATTATTTTTTATTTTTTTCATTTTAATGTTTAATTCGTATTGTTATGTGGAATTATTATTCAAATAATGTGTAATTATAATCTTGTAATTTATATTTTATGTCGTAAAATGTATGGAATTGTGTTGGAATGTGTGTACAACAATTAAAGCGGACTGAAATCGCTGGATCGATTTCCTTCTAAAACAGTTTTTTATTTAAAAATAACCCCTATTCAGTAACTCGTTAAGGTTTGTCTTTCAACTGTTGATTATGTACACATTTTCGACACAATTTCGTATATTTTCGTTTGAAAATATGTCAATATTCCCTGTAATTGTACAAACTCGCCACTTGGCGCCCAGTGGTACTTAATGTGATATATTGTAGTAAATAAATATAATTATATTTTAATTATCCACTTTTTGTTTTATTGCCTTTCCTTAAAGTTTACTTTACCCTTTTGTTCATCACGATACCGAAAATAAGAAAACAGGGATATTTCAAAATTATAAAATGTCAAATATAATTATTATTTTGACGTAACATTTATGATTGTCAAAGAAAGAACACTCAGTAAAAGTGGATAAACATAGAGAGCGACCTACGCAAGCGCCTCATATAGGCGCCCTTAATGTTTTTGGCGCCGCCGCCATTGCATGGGCAGTTGAACCAGGGTTGCCCACCGCACTCTAAGAAAGTAGTAGTATTATTGTCCTTTAATTATCATGTAGGCGTACTCTATAATCTATATAACACTAATAGAGTACGTTAAAATACTCTTTTTTACACAATGTTTACTTAACTATTGCCAGTTTCTTATAATATGCAAATACCCATGATCGGAAAAAAAGTCTTAACTATTAAAATGTCAATAAATAAAATAATGTTTATTTCGGACAAGTGATAGGTACAAGTAACAAGTGATAGGTAGGTTTAGTAAGAAAAAGTACTAGAATTAGTAAGAATAATTTAAAATCTTAAAAACTTTATAATACTGTGCGGCCAGTTCAGTGGTCCAAAGAGTTTTTCAGTAAGAGCATCATAATTTGTTATGTGCTGCAAAAAGTACGAAAATAACCTCTTTAAAAGTACAAAATAAATGATAGTCTTTCTTGTAAGTCCGTAGGTACTCTTTA